TGTGTGTGTGTGTGTGTGTGTGTGTGTGTGTGTGTGTGTGTGTGTGTGTGTGTGTGTGTGTGTGTGTGTGTGTAGAGGAACATGTACATACACAGAAAATGAACAGTAATCGTGACTTGCACATAAATCTATCTAGGCTGAAAGAGAAAGACAGAAAGTAAAGGAGGATTTTAAAGATAGAGAAATAGAGTGAAAGAGATGATACAAAGATATACAGACAGAGAGACAGACAGAGAGACAGAGACAGACACAGAGACAGACAGAGAGACAGAGAGAGACAGACAGAGAGACAGAGAGAGACAGACAGACAGACAGACAGACATAAACACAGACAGACGGACAGACAGAGACATAAACACAGACAGACGGACAGACAGAGACATAAACACAGACATACAGACAGACAGACAAACGGACAGACAGACAGACATAAACACACACAGACAGACAGACATAAACACAGACAGACAGACAGACAGAGACATAAACACAGACAGACAGACAGACAGACAGACGTAAACACAGACAGACGGACAGACAGAGACATAAACACAGACATACAGACAGACAGACAAACGGACAGACAGGCATAAACACAGACAGACAGACAGACAGAGACAGACAGACGTAAACACAGACAGACGGACAGACAGAGACATAAACACAGACAGACAGAGAGACAGACAGAGAGACAGACAGAGAGACAGACAGACCTAATAATACTTCTCCTCCACATGTTAAATCTCCTTCGTCATTTTCCTTTTCTTCTTCTTCATCACCTCCCTCCTCTTCTATCTATCTATCTATTTATCTATCTATCTATCTATCAATCTATCTATCTGTCTATCTGTCTATATGTCTATCTGTCTGTCTCTCACACACACACACATCAAAAGTTTATAGGTGGTAAAATGAAAATAAATAAATACATAAATAAATAATATTGAGGAAAAGGTAAAGTTGACAAGTAAAAATATGGAGTGACTAATGTTGGGGTTGACATACGTGGAGGTGGCAAGGAAGGAACACACAAGAATAACTGTTGGTGGCAGACAAATTAAGTTATTAAAGGGGTGAGAAGATTATTATGTAAACTAAGTCATTTAATAATATTTATATTAAGTTATGATTATGTTAGTTAATTAGGTACATTAAATAACACAAGTAAAACACATCTATACATCTACCAAAACACACCAGAATATTACCCAATTATTCTTACTTTAAACATTAAATACACCTACTGTATACAACAACAACACAAAAACCTGATAGAAATGGCAGCTCGGGTAGCAAGTCAAGGTAGCGATGGCCAACCACAAGGAACCAGGGATTAACGCCGTAGTCCACAACCATCAAACCATCACAACACCATCAGCAGAGGAACACCGTAGGCCGTAGAGGAGAGACAGTAGAGACTCAGCTTACCAGTCAGACACACTTCTTCTGAATCTGTGCTCACTGGGGTCAAGTAGCTTCGTGAAACAGCTTCTTCTCCTGGTGTCAAGTTGGAGCAAGTGGTGGTAGAGTGAGGAGGGGACAGAGTCGTCACAGGAAATCAATAAATAAGTACATAAATAAATAAATAAATAAATAAACTAGTTAGCTATCAAAAGGAGTCAGAAATGTGCATGTTACCCATTAAAGTTTCATTCTCTATAGTAGTATGAAAGAGAAAACCAACATTTATTAGAGGATAACTTATTCAAATTTGTGCTACTATACTGGTATGTCTTTTTGACCAATTAGACGGCAGTGTTGTATTTACGGTTTTTTTTATCCTCTTCGCCACTGATCGGCTTGTGTAGGCAGATGGTGCGACCTCACGTCTCTTTTCCTTTATATTCTTCACCAAAAGGTCGGCTGGCTAGCCGCCCGGGCGATCAGTCACGTCTCTGTCACGCACTGTTGGCAAATACTGGGCATGCACCGGCTCCTGAATGTACCTGAACCCGCTCCAGTGTTGGTCAAGTCTTCTCTTGAAAGAGCTCACACTCGGTGCCGTCACAACACTCTCTGGTAGATTGTTCCAAGAGTTTACAACCCTCACTCCGAAAAAGTTTGCCCTCACGGTTTTCCGGACTTGCGGCTTCTTCAATCTTGAGCTGTGACCCCTTGTGGGGCGAGCGTCCGCCAGCTCAAAGTAAGGACACTCAACTGAGTAGTGCCCCCTGAGATGCTTATAAACCTCAACTAGGTCCCCCCTTGCCCGTCTGTAGTATAAGCTAGGCAAGTTCAGGCGCTCCAATCTCGCAGGGTAGCTGAGATGCCGAAGTGCAGGCACCAGCTTGGTGGCCCTCCTTTGAACATTTTCAACCAACTGACAGTCCCTAGCATATCTCGGGGACCAGATGGGGTGACAGTACTCCAGATGGGGAAGCACTTCACTCCTGAAGATCGTCACGAGGGACGGACCGTCTAGATATCTGAATGACCTTCTTATAAGACCCAATAATTTATTTGCCTGATTTACCTTCTTCTCACAATGGCCCGAGAACTTCAGCTCATTGTCAACATACACACCTAGGTCCTTCTCACACACAGTCTCAACTAGTACATTTTCTTCATCCCGTTGGGACATATGGTACGCCTCCTTACCGTTGGTACGCCCCAGGTGCATCCTCTTACACTTCGTGACATTGAATCTCAGCAGCCATTGTATTTACGGGTTTTTTATATAGGGAGAGGAAGGGATGGGGATATTGATGGATAGATGGATGGATGGATGGACTGATAGATGGATGGATGTATGGATGGATAGATAGATGAATGGGCGGATAGGAGAATGAATAGATGATGATGAGAGGTATGATGAGCTGGATGATGGCTGCGCGTGAGTTGATATATGTGGTGAGGCAGGAGCGCAGGCTGCAACCACACATCTTGAGCTCTCTCTTTTCCTGATCCAGTTGTGAAAGTGTCGCACCAAAATGGGAGAGGGAGAGTTGCAATGGACTGCCGATAGCCTAGTTTGTTGGGTTTCGCCTTAGTAGCCTGTCCATCAGGCATTGCCTTCGTCTGCTGGTGTAGTCGTTGGGTTCCCATGGTGGTTACCTCTTCCGCCTATACCGCCGTGGGGTCTTGTTGGAGCTCTGTAAGCATGTCTGCCTGATGCTGGGCTCCACCGCAAATTTTTCGTTCGGGGTTTACTTCCGTAGCCTTATTATACCTACCAAGGTTAATCCGCAAAACAGCGAGGCAATGGTTGGTAGGCGCCAGGACGTATCCACATGCCAGTGAGCCTATGTGCCGTCCCTCTGGGGTACCCACTGCTACTCCGAGATCCCCTGATGGTCTAGCCTGGGCCCACGAGGCACCCAGTTACCGTGTGTTACCACGAGGAGGCACAGCAGGAGTGTTGATGGTGAAGAGGTTGTGTACTGGCTGGGGAAGACTTATGCAAGTTGCTTCTCTGTTCGCCACGAGGGCTAGCCAGCGGCGGTAGCTGAAAGCGAGAGGGAGCAAGCAGTGCCTGCACCTTAACACTAATATAAAGCTGCCACACTATACGCATTAAACCACCCTGTGCACACACACACACACACACACACACACACACACACACGTCCCAACCACTGTAAAAATTATCAACAACTTGTAATCAACCAGTGTGTTCACTCCCAGTCAATCTTACTTTTTGCACTGTCACTATGTTGAAATGCCCTGTAGTTTGAGCTTCTCCCCACCTAGTTATTATATATCATATTTGTATCACTTATGTTACTTGTATATAATTTGCAAATCAAGAGACCCATTCCAGGATTCTCTAAAAGGTCCTCGAAGGATTTTCTCTGTTATTCCTGGATAATTATAAAGTCCTGGGTAGCCTTGGAGTTAATGACGGCAGCATAGCGTGTGTGGTTCATCGTTAGAGCCTCCCTTGTGGTGTCCAATACAGTACTACCTCGTTCGCTCCCTCGCTCCCTCGCCTTGGAATTCCTCTCATCCAGTGACGTGAAGGTTGAGATTCATGGAAGTATTTTGTTTAAGTATAGATAAAGTTTAGGGATTTTTAAGGTTCTTGGAAGGAGTTTAGGACATTTCTTCTTCTTCTTCTCACCCTCTTTTCCTTCCTATTCTTGTCCATTCCTCCTCTTCACCCTCTTCTTCTCCTGTTCCTTTTCTCCACTCGCTTCTTCTTCTTCATCGTCTTCTTCTTCTTCGTCTTCTGCTTCTTCTTCTCCTCACCCTCTCTTCCTTCCTATTATCCTTCTCTTCTTCCCCTCTCCCTCCTTCTCCCCATCAAGCCACACCTTAACACCACCACCGTAACTCAGGTGTTTAATGTCAGCGCCAAATTCGACTGAGATTTCTCCATCATCTACGGATAATTAACTTCCGCCTTGACCATACTGTTAATGTGACACCCCCCCTCCCCCTAACCTCCCAACACCCTCCCCTAACCTCCCAACACCCTCCCCCCTTAAAGTAGTTAGTGGTTATATTATTAATGTAGAACAAGGTCTTTGAGTAGTTGAACGGGTAATGTGTGTGTGTGTGTGTGTGTGTGTGTGTGTGTGTGTGTGTGTGTGTGTGTGTGTGTGTGTGAGCGTTTGTAACACTCTTAAGTTCTCATCCACAAAGCTATTACGTCACACATGGAGTATAACACTTTTTTGCGTCAAGGTCGTGTAAGCTGCCATGGAAACCTGCTCCACCTCCTCCTCCTTCTCTTCCGCCTCCTTCTTACTCTCTTCCTTCAACTACTACTCTTCTTCCTCCTCCTCCTCCTTCATCTTACTCTCTTCCTTCAACTATTACTCTTCTTCCTCCTCCTCCTCCTACTACCACCACCACTACTACCACTACCACTCCCTCCTTACCAGGCGATGGTGAGAGAGAGAGAGAGAGAGAGAGAGAGAGAGAGAGAGAGAGAGAGAGAGAGAGAGAGGGGCGTGTCCCGAGAACTATCAAGGTGTGTCCCCCCTCCTCCCCCTCCTCCCCCTCTCCCTCTCCCCCTTCAATGAATATATATATAAATAGGACACCTCTTCCTCCTCCTACAGTCACTTCCAGTCAAACTCCTTCAGACAGTCAGAAATCAGGTAAGAATCCCAGTTAAGTGATTGGTGATGATTGCCAATTACAATCCATTTTATACAGTTAGTGATTTGTACAATTGTTATTATTATTATTATTATCATTGTCATTATTATTATTATTGTCATTATCATCACTGTAACAGGATGATCGGTTTAGTGTTGGTGATGGCCATGGTGGTGACGGTACTGGGCCGGGGAGAGGAGGATTACTACAATGCTTATGGCTTTACGAAGGTACTGTACTGTTACCTGTGTACTGTTACCTGTATAGTGTTACCTGTGTACTGTTACCTGTGTACTGTTACCTGTATAGTGTTACCTGTGTACCGTTACCTGTATAGTGTTACCTGTGTACTGTTACCTGTGTACTGTTACCTGTATAGTGTTACCTGTGTACCGTTACCTGTATAGTGTTCCGTGAATAATATCATCTGTATTGTGTTACCTGTGTAGTGTTACCTGTGTAGTGTTATCTGTACAGTGTTACCTGTGTAGTGTTATTTACATAGTGCTACCTGTATAGTGTTACCTACTGTATATAGTGTCACCTGTAAAGTGTTACCTGTAGAGTCTTACCTATATAGTGTTACCTGTATGGTGTTACCTTTACAGTGTCACCTGTATAATGTTACCTGTATAGTGTTACCTGTATAGTGTTACCTGTATTGTGTTACCTATATAGTGTTACCTGTATTGTGTTACCTGTATAGTGTTACCTTTATAGTGTCACCTGTATAGTGCCTCATCACCCTCTCTACCTCAGATGATGACTAACTGCTTCGGGAACGACCTTTACTACGACTATATTAGACGAGTAGGTTACGCCAAGCAGGAGTGTTCCCAGCAGCCATTGGCTTATCCTGGACAGTTTACCGGGAGTGGTGGAGTGGTGAGTGACTAACTATCTATCTGCCTACGTCTGTCTGTCTCTATTATATATCCATCAACTGTTTCTGTAAATGACATTTTTTTTATTATGTCATTAACCTTAATTAACCTAAATTAACCATAAGTTACCCTGATTATTTTTACTAGACTCCTTAAGGTGCTTTGTAGAATTAACAATTAATGATGTTAAATCTTAAGTCATGAGAAGTTTATTCACTTTAATATATCAAAACAAAAATTATTATTATTGTTATTTAATGGTAAAAAGGAATAGAAATACACGCACGCACGCACGCACACACACACACACACACACACACACACACACTGCTGCTGCTACTACCACTACTACTTTGCTGTCACTCGGAATCGAGTATGACGACCATCCAGCTATGATACAATGATGTGAGTTATTAAGGATGTCACCTACGTTGGTGAGTTCTGAGGTGACTGAAGAAGCCGATACGGGACCGGCAGGGTCGTTCACAGGTGTGACAAATGTGGAGGGCTACATATAGTGCGGGAGGGGCGGCGGCAGGGTCTTTTTGGCGCTGACGCTTGTCTGCCTTGGTATGCAGTCGTGCTAACTCTAGTGGTGCTCCTCCAAGCGTTACAGTGTGGAGCAATCGTCTCCCAGGTTAGGGGTCGATTTGGTACTTTTTCAAGTTTGTCCTTATACCTTTTCAATTGTCCGCCAGCGTTACATTTACTATTCGTTGGGTGACTGTAAAGTAGCTGCTTCGGCAGTCTACTGTCGTCCATGCGGGCAACATGGCCAGTCCAGCGTAGTTGTTCATGGATAATGGTAGCCTCGATGCTTCTACATTTGGTGTCAGTGAGAATACTGGCATTTGTTCTCTTGTCTTCCCAGATAACTCGGAGGATGGAAGGTAAACTACGTTGGTTAAAGTTTTCAAGTGCCTTGAGGTGCCTCCTGTATATGACCCATATTTTGATGCCATATATCAGGGTGGGGAAGACCACTGCTTGATATACATGCAGCTTTGTAGATAATTTCAGCTCCCTACAGCTGAAGATACGGGTACGAAGTCTGCCAAAGGCTTGAGATGCACATCTAATCTGAAGTTGAATCTCTTCCTCGATGTCCGCGGTGGTGAACAGGTGGGAGACGAGATGCCGAAAGTGGATAACATTAGATGGTGGAGGTGTGGCTGAACCAAGGGCAGGCTGAAAGAGAATCTGAGTCTTATGTACATTCACCTCAAGGCCGAAGTGTGCATACGCATCTGTGTAGGTGTTCAGGATCTTCTGTAGGTTGCGTTCAGTGTAAGCGACAAGGGTGAGGCATACTGAAGTTCAGTAATGGAAGCTGTGGTCACCTTCGTTCCTACCTGAAGTAATCTTATGTTGAAAAGACCCTTCATTCGGTACTTGATGTCCACCCTGCCGGCTAAATTGGCACTTGCACGAGTAAGGAAGGCAGCCAAGAAAATGGAAAAGAGAGTTGGTGCCAGTACACATCCTTGTTTTACCCCCGTTTGGATGGGGAGAACTCAGACTGGGTGCCATTGTGCAGGACACTGCCGTTCATGCCATCGTGGAGTTGCCTCACAATGGTGATGAAATGTGGTGGGCAGGCAAAACGGCTTCCCTTTTGACCGAGTCGAAGGCCTTGGTTAGGTCGATGAAGGCCTACAGGTCACGATGCTGTTCTCCGCACTTTTCTTGTATCTGACAGGCAGCAAAGATCATGTCAGTGGTGCCACGTGATGGTCTAAAGCCACATTGAGATTCTGGGAGGAAGTTTTCCGCCTCAGGAAGAAGTCTGTTCAGGAGGACTCGGGCGATAATCTTGCCAGCTATAGACAGCAGCGAGGTCCCACGGTAGTTGCCACAGTCTGACCGGTCTCTCTTGTTATTATAGATATTGACAATGGAGGCGTCTTTAAGAGCTTGGTAGATTTCCTCCTTTTCCCATATATTCTCCAGGAGAGAGTGGAGACGGCTGGTAAGCAGAGGTCCTCCTGCTTTATAAACCTCGGCTGGGATTCCACCAGGCCCTGAGGCTTTGTTATTTTTCATCTGTTTGATGGCAGTAGCTACCTCATCCAGGGATTTAGGATAGCTGAGGAGGGTCAGCTCTGGATGCTGAGGGACCTGCTGGATAGTTAGGACATCCACATCAGTGTTTCGGTTGTGCAGCGAATGGTAGTGCTCTTTCTAGTGCTGAAGGATGCCTTCTTCGTCTTTAATTAGGGAGTTACCGTCGGATGAGCTGAGGTCGCACACACACACATTAACAAACAAATACATACACATACACTAACAAAACAAACACCCAAACAAACAGATAGACAGACATAGACAGACTCACACAGGTAGATAAACAAACTAAAAATATCCGTCCCCCCCCACCCCCAGCAGAGTGTGGCGCCGCTCCCCCAGCAGGTGTACGGGTACCCCAACACCCCCCTCTACCCCAACACCGGCCTCTACCCCCAAGTGTTCACCCTGCAACAACCCTGCCGTCATCCTTCTTAACCGCCATTGCAGTAAGTGTGTGTCCTCTCTCTCTCTCCTCTCTCTCTCTCTCTCTCTCTCTCTCTCTCTCTCTCATTAGATCTGTCACTTAAGATAGCATTTTTTAAACCTACTTATAATTATCATGGCCTTTATTATAAGACCCTACCCTATAATTATCACCAGCCTTTGTTAGCTAAGGCCCTACCCTATAATTATCACCCAGCCTTTATTATAAGACCCTACCCTATAATTATCGCAGCCTTTATTATAAGACCCCTACCTATAATTATCACCCAGCCTTTGTTATACAACCCCTACCCTATAATTATCGCCAGCCTTTATTATAGACCCTACCCTATATTTTTCAGCCTTTATTATAAGACCCTACCCTATAATTATCACTGGCCTTTATTATAAGACCCTACCCTATAATTATCACCAGCCTTTATTATAAGACCCTACCCTATAATTATCGCCAGCCTTTATTATAAGACCCTACCCTATAATTATCACCAGCCTTTATTATAAGACCCTACCCTATAATTATCGCCAGCCTTTATTATAAGACCCTACCCTATAATTATCACCAGCCTTTATTATAAGACCCTACCCTATAATTATCACCAGCCTTTATTATACAACCTTACCCTATAATTATCGCCAGCCTTTATTATAAGACCCTACCCTATAATTATCGCCAGCCTTTATTATAAGACCCTACCCTATAATTATCACCAGCCTTTATTATACAACCTTACCCTATAATTATCGCCAGCCTTTATTATAAGACCCTACCCTATAATTATCGCCAGCCTTTATTATAGACCCTACCCTATAATTATCACCAGCCTTTATTATAGACCCTACCCTATAATTATCACCAGCCCCTTTGTTATACAACCCTACCCTATTATCGCCAGCCCTTTATTATAAGACCTACTATAATTATCACCAGCCTTTATTATAGACCCTACCTATAATTATCTTAGCCTTTATTATAGACCTACCCTATAATTATCACCAGCCTTTATTATAGACCCTACCTATAATTATCACCAGCCTTTGTTATGCAACCCTACCCTATAATTGTCGCCAGCCTTTATTATAAGACCCTAACCCTACCCTATAATTATCGCCAGCCTTTATTATAAGACCCTACCCTATAATTATCACCAGCCTTTATTATACAACCCTACCCTATAATTATCGCCAGCCTTTATTATAAGACCCTGCCCTATAATTATCACCAGCCTTTATTATACAACCTTACCCTATAATTATCGCCAGCCTTTATTATAAGACCCTACCCTATAATTATCGCCAGCCTTTATTATAAGACCTTACCATATAATTATCGGCAATTAACCACTTCTCCCCCCCGCCCCCCCAGGGCCGCCAAGCTGTCGAGCCTTTGATCAATAGAGATGTCATGGAGGCCTCACTCGCTGCAGTCCACGCCGGCATAAGTAACTATACCTGTCAACTGAGGGTGATGGGACTGGTGAGTACTAGTGGTAGGTGGTGGCAGTTGTGGTAGGTGGTGGTGGTATAGTAGTGGTAGGTGGTGGTAGGTTGTAGTAGTATTTGTTAGGTGGAAAATTTAACGTAGGAACCTTTGAGAATCCATCTTTGTGTCGTAGCTTAAGTGAGTCAGTTAGATACGTTCTCACATCACCAGTTAGGAGGAAAATTTAACGAAGGAACCTTTGAGAATGTACATGACACTACACTAAGAATCTCTACTATCTCCCTCCCAACACAGATTGATGATAACCTCAACATAAACCTGAATGAAGCCATCAATCAATATGTCAACATTCCTATCGACTCTTATCTGAGGGAAGACTTGGTTCTAAGCGTCCGATACTGCAAGGAACAGTCGGTATGTTTGTTAACTCTGCCTTTCGTTCTTATTCTATCTCTGTCTGTCTGCCTGTTTAAATATCTATCTTTCTATTCAATTATCAATTTATTTATCGTGTTGAGAACTGTACTAAAATATATAAAGACAGTTTTTTCAGTCTGTTTTAACCAATAAATAACACTACTTCTGTGTGTGTGTGTGTGTGTGTGTTTCCAGGACCGTATGCCACTCGAGTTACTCACCGTGCCATCACCAACTGTCTTCCGAATCCTCTCCTTCGCCAAGTGTGAGAGGAAATTACGTCGGTTTTCCTGCCTCAAGAAGGATTTGAGGGATAATATTAATTTAGTGGAATTCTCAGCCATTCCTGACATCGGTGGTGCTGGACCTATTGATAATCTCGCCATCATCTTAACGGCAGCTGGAACACTGGATGAATTGGATTTCTTCTAGGCTATCTAGGGAGACCATTCTCCCTCTCTCTCTCTCTCTCTCTCTCTCTCTCTCTCTCTCTCTCTCTCTCCACTATCCACTCTACAGTATCCACAATCCACAAACCACTCTCCAGTACCCACTATCCACTTGTCACCTCAGCTCAAAAATCCAATACATTTTAATAAAGTGTATAGAACAAATATGATTATTTATTATTTCCTTGTAAGAGAGAGAGAGAGAGAGAGAGAGAGAGAGAGAGAGACGAGAAAGAGAAAGATATGGATAATTAAGATGTGCCAAAAAAGATAGAAATAAATTATTACTGAACTGAAATTATTATAATTATGATATGTAATATTATGATGATCCAAAGTTATAATAATAATAATAATAATAATAATAATAATAATAATAATAATAATGTGATGTCCCTCCCTGCTCCCTACAGTATTGAGGAAAGGTAAAGTTGACAAGTAAAAATATGGAGTGACTAATGTAGGGGTTGACATACGTGGAGGAGGCAAGGAAGGAACACACAAGAATAACTGTTGGTGGCAGACAAATTAAGTTATTAAAGGGGTGAGAAGATTATTATGTAAACTAAGTCATTTAATAATATTTATATTAAGTTATGATTATGTTAGTTAATTAGGTACATTAAATAACACAAGTAAAACACATCTATACATCTACCAAAACACACCAGAATATTACCCAATTATTCTTACTTTAAACATTAAATACACCTACTGTATACAACAACAACACAAAAACCTGATAGAAATGGCAGCTCGGGTAGCAAGTCTAGGTAGCGATGGCCAACCACAAGGAACCAGGGATTAACGCCGTAGTCCACAACCATCAAACCATCACAACACCATCAGCAGAGGAACACCGTAGGCCCTAGAGGAGAGACAGTGGAGACTCAGCTTACCAGTCAGACACACTTGCCTCGATACCTCGGTCTCATAGTCAGATGGGAAACTTGTTCTGAATCTGTGCTCACTGGGGTCGAGTAGCTTCGTGAAACAGCTTCTTCTCCTGGTGTCAAGTTGGAGCAAGTGGTGGTAGAGTGAGGAGGGGACAGAGTCGTCACAATAATAATAATACATTGTCCTCCCGTGCTATGTATGAGGTCTCCCATAAGAGTACAAACGTTCACACAGTCTCCACGCAGATCTGTAAGGCAGTGTCTTCTGTACTGGGTATGATAGGCTCAAAGAACATAACCTAATCTAACCTATAATGAATTTCGCTTTTCGGTGTCTATGTACTGTCCAGGGTCTGTGTTCTGTCCAAAGCGTCAGAGTACTGCCTTGGGTGGCTATGTACTGGCTAGAGTATCTAAGTACTTTCCAGGCTGTTTACTGTATGTACTGTCCAGTGTTTATGTACTGTCCAAGGTTGACCAAGATATGCCCCGTCACCCCTGTCAAGCCAGCCAGTGTGACGCCACTGACAAAAAGGTGCAACATTTATCAGAGATTTAACGCCAACTCGAGCGTTCACGTACGCCACGCCCGCCCGAAGCCCAAGGACAAGGTTGATGGAGGGTCAACTGGTGGAGAACGTTCAAATTTGAGGTTAATATTTATTTATTTTTTATATTATTATTATTATTGTTATTATTATTATTATTATTATTATTATTATTATTATTATTATTATTATTATTATTATTATTATTATTATTATTATTATTATTAATGCTAGGTCATCCCGGACGATCATAAATCCCCTTTCCACCCTTTCCTTCCTCCCTCCCTCAGTCCTTCTACTTTCCCCTCCCGCTCTTCACCCCGCTCTTCCTTCCCCCTGTCACCCCCGCTCTTCCTCATCCCCCTGCCCTTCCTGTCGTCTTGAAGGCCCGACAATCACAGACGTTTATCAATTCTTGGCTGCCTCAGTTAAGTTTCCTTGTTCACAGTGAAGTGTTTATTCTGTGGGTGGGTGGGTGGTGAGGATTGTGTGAGGAAGTGTTGGCAGGTGGGAGAGGTGTGTGAGGGGACGTGGGTGGGTGGGAGGGTGTTGGTGGGTGGGTGGGGAGGGTGTGTGTGTGTGGGTGAGTGAGGTGTTGGGTGGGGAGGGTGTGGGTGGGAAGGGTGTGGGTGGGTGGGGAGGGTGTTGTGGGTGGGGGTGTTAGTGGGTGGGGGGAGGGTGTGGGTAGGGGACGTGTGGGTGGGTGGGAAGGGTGTTAGTGGGTGGGGAGGGGTGTTGGTGGGTGGGGGTGTTGAGTGGGTGGGGAGGGTGTGGTAGGTGGGCGGTTAGTGGGTGGGGAGGGTGTGGGTGGGTGGGTGGGGAGTGGTAGTGGGTGGGTGGGAGAGGTGTGTCAGTGGGTGTGGTGGGGGTGTGGGTGGGTGGGGAGGGTGTGAAGTTGGTGGGTGGGGAGGGTGTGAAGTTGGTGGGTGGGGGTGTGGGTAGGTGTTTGTTCCTGGTTGGGTTGAGACCTTGCTGCTCTAGTTGATAGCAGCCCATCCACACACACACACGAAAATAGATACCAGGAAGGACATTGACACGATAACAGGAAACATGAACTTTTTAGCAACAAGAAAAGCGTCTGTGTATGTATGTATATATGTGTGTGAGTGAGGCGTGATGTGTGTGTGTGAGTGAGTGAGGCGTGATGTGTGTGGGTGGGTGAGTGACCGCTTGCCTTCAACAAAGCATCGTCAGGATATATATCAGACAGTGTACTCAGCCACATTGAGTCTTAGGAGTTGATCTGACGAAGTAGTTCCTCTCTCTCTTGCCCATCTGACCGACCAGCGACCACCACTACCATTACTGCCTCAAGAAGTAACTACTACTACGACTATAACCCACTACTACTACTACCCGAAGAAGTAACTACTACTACTACTACTACTACTACTGCTACTACAACCACTACCGAACCCAGGTGAGACAACCCAATATTTTACCCCATTACACTGATAGTACTCAGGTATGAACCGTTAATAGTAGCCAGTCTTTAGTAGTGACCATCTGTACCACAAACTAGAATTAGAAACATAATGATCGTATACCTTCACCATACTACCCTCCCAGCACCATACTACCCTCCCAGCACCATACTACCCTCCCAGCACCATACTACCCTCCCAGCACCTCAGCACTAACACAGCTCTCCTACAGGATGGTGAGGGTCGTTGTGCTGCTGAGCGTCCTGATGATGGGTCTGACTCAGGAAGACTTCTTCAACAAGTACGCCTTCAACAAGGTACTGTGTGTGTGTGTGACTTTTCCACAAACTTTCTATGACCAAACCTAACTCAACCTAACATAACCTGACTTAACACTAACACTAATCTAACCTAACACTAACCTAACATTAACGGTAATCTAACCTGACTAACACTAGCACTAACCTAACACTAAATTAATACTAACCTCTGATCTACAGGTAATAAGCAGTTGTTTCGGGTCAGGTGAATACGGTCACTACCTATCACAGATCTCCTCAGCTCAGGTCAACTGCAACCAACAACCAATCACCGCCTTCCTCGCTGCCCCAGGACGTAGTAACCCAAACGTCTATTATTCCTCCCGCCCCCTCTCATCCACCCAGGTGAACAAGTGGTAGATTTACTCATTATATTCTTCCGGTGAGGTGAGTCAGCGGTACACTGACTCATCTTACTAATTTGGGTGTCCCTATAGTTAAACTGACTCACCGTGCCACTTGGTTGATTCATCCTCACCTACTTACTCATATTAAGAGTTGAGTAACTGGCTATTTACTTACCTTACTCTACAGTTACTCTATAAATAACCATAAAGTAACTGTATGTGACTTAAAACATCAAAAACATAACAACACACTTGATGAAGTTTACAAAACGTGACGTATTTTGCTCCGTGTCTCAGCCTTTCAGTAAAATAATAAACAACTCCTGATTTATGTACTGTACAGCCCTGTAAATGTATTCAATGCATATTATATCATTATGTCTAAATCTAATATAAGTGTATATTTTCAGCCACCGGCTGCAACTCTATTAATAAACCGTTTATTATTATCATTATTATTATTATTTATATTTCAAAGCTTTCAATATGATCAATAGAAACATAATTATGTAGATAAATACACACGTTATACAGGGTGAGTCAAACGTCTCCAGACACAGGCAAAATGATCACTTTATTATACAATCACTTGTAAGTCACAAAATATGCTCTATGTGGGCACCATTATACTGAATGCACATACGGATGTGTTCCTCCCACTCATGGCGAACGCGCGTTAACAACTCTGGTGTTATGCTCACACACTCATCACGAAAGCGTTCCTTTAGCTGGACCGTGTTTTGTATCTTCACCTGGTGCACTGTGGCCTGCAGGTGCCCCCACAAGTAAAATCAAGGGGGGTGAGGTCTGGGGACCTCGGAGGCCACTCCACGGGACCACGGCGGCCAAGGGCGCAAGCGGATACCGTAATGGGGTGGCGCCCCATCTTGCTGAAATGTAATGGTGCCCCCATAGAGCATATTTTGTGACTTACAAGTGATTGTATAATAAAGTGATCATTTTGCCAATGTATGGAGACGTTTGACTCACCCTGTATATACATTCCACCGTATACAAAAAAATAAGGAAAAGATAAAAATAAGAAATTCGTCCCAGAGTTTTAGTTTCCTTTAAAATAATATTCTTGTACTAAAGAAAATAAATTCCTTTTATCACCAACTCAACAGATATTTGACGCCTCGTATATACTACATGTAAACTGCTCCCCTTACTCACTCTCTTAACATCCCATCAGACAGGATTAAAAGTCTACTGATAATAAAATATTCATAAAAAATACGTGTCTATCTATCTATTTCCTTGCAGACTTCACCCTCAAGCGGCTTCAACCCCAGACGGAACAACCCACGCTACACGCCCGCTACCAACCCCCTTAATCCACGCCCACTCACTGGCTATAACCCACGCTACACGCCCACTACTAACCCACGCCCACTTACTGGCTATAACTCCCGCTACATTCCCACTACCAGCCCTCTTAGCCCACGCCCACTCACTGGCTATAACCCACGCTACACGCCCGTTACTAACCCCCTTAACCCACGTCCACTCACTGTCTATAATCCCAGCAAGCCTTTTACGAGCCAATCAGGATCCCAATTCGATGTCCCCATCAGCCAATCAGGATCCCAATACGGTGTCCCCACCAGCCAATCAGGAGTCCACTATGGTGTTCTAGGCAGCCAATCACAACCGCCCTTCCCCCAGCCAAATATCTATCGCCCTTCTACTCATCAGGTGAGTCTGCTAGAACACACACACACACACACACACACACACACACACCTAAAAGTAAACAAATAATTTCACTTTTATTTAAATTTGTTTTGTTATTATAAGTAAGAAGACACATTATGCCAGGCTATTTAAGTAATGTAAGTAACATGGTCTTCAAGTAATATAAGTGTCCATTAATAAGTTCATTTCTAACCACTATGACTTAATTTCCCCATTAATTTCTATATTAAGACTTGGTTGACATATGATTTAAATATTATTGTCTCTTAAAAGATCAGAAACTCGTATGCAAATTAGCTTCATCAGTTACTAATTGTTTATATTATTTTTTGAGAGTTAATGTCTCTTAGTTTTAGGGTAAGACGAGAGAGAAATTGAATTATCTCTTTCTCTGTCTGGCTGTCTCTCTGATTTGATTTGATTTACTTAGTTTTTTGTTTGTCAACGCTTCGGTACTCTCCCTCTCTCTCTCTCTCTCTCTACCTTGTATGTCTCTCTGTTCACTGTATGTTCCTCCGTTGCTTCAGTGATAAAACTTGTACGAAATTATGTAAGTTATCATCATTATTTACTAATTACTAACACAATTGTGGGATTTTTATAACTACATATATTCATTTTGTATTATTAAAAATTAATTATTTGGGTCGAGCTTTAATTTGGAGTTTCTTTACCCCAAATTATCTGAGAGTTACCTGTTATTTCAGTTGACAGTAATTACTTTTTCTTCATATGTGACCCAGACTTTAAAAACGACATAATTAGGATGATAACTAATAATCAACAAAAGCATAATTAGGGAAATGAATAAAATATGATATAGAAATAAGTAAGAAATATATAAATAAATGTATAATGAAATAGAATAATAATTAACCAGTATCATTAAGAAAGTCTCCTTCCCCTCAGAGTACTGGATCACCCGGACACAACTCTCGTCGCCAGTACTCATGGGACTACGACTCGATAACTACCTCCATCCACGACCTTAACGCTGCCCTCAGTAACATGACCTGTGTCTTGACCTCTATCAACGCCGTCAGTATTACCTCTATCGGGTCAATCTATCCCTTATTTTGGGGGGGGGGGAAGGGGGTCAGTTTTAGGATAATTTGGGATCGTTTAAGGTTATTTTAGGTCAGTTATGGTTTATATTATGTCAGACTAGTCCATTAATTGCTTATCTAGGCCGTGTCAGGTCACACCAGAATATTGTAGGTCATTTTTACGTCATTTTAAGTCAGTTGTAGGTCATGTTGATATAATCTTGGGGTCACATTTACTCTTGGTCTGTTTATTGATTCATTCACCCGTTTTCTCTGTTGTCTTCCCCCATTTATTCACCCGTTTTCTGTGATGTTTTTCCCACAGATCGACGGAGACTTAAACATTAAATACGAGGCCTTCATAAATTACTACAGCGATCGGCCACTCGACGCCTCTCTCAAGGGTGATCTGGTGGATGGGGTCAATATGTGCAGGTCTTATGTGGTGAGTCTATCTATCTATCTATTTATCTATCTATCTATCTATCTATCTATCTATCTATCTATCTATCTATCTGTTTATACCGGCCCATTTGTTTTGTTTTAATGTTTTAACCATCTCTCTCTCTCACACCCCCCCCCCCCAGGAGTGTTTGCCAGTGGAACAACTCAAGTCTGGTCTGCCGTGGAAGTTACATCGTCTGTTGGACTTCCTCAAGTGCGAGAAGAACTCCCGCTTGACCTCCTGCTTCAAGCAAGACCTCAGAAATAACCTTGACCAGTTCGACCTGTCAGCTCTACCAGACGACGGGAGACGAACCGAGCCTGTCGACCAGTTGATGACTATCCTGGTAGGGGCTGGCGATATGGAGGTCTTTTAAGTGGTTCTCTGTCAGCACCTTTCTCAGTCAAGTGTCTTTCTCAGTCCAGTGTCTTTCTCAGTCCAGTGTCTTTCTCAGTCAAGTGTCTTTTTGCATTTTTCCGTCAGTGTATTATACAGAATCCAAATACCTTCTGGTTTACCTGACGAAGGGAGTCTCTGCAGGTATACTTCACTTCAGGTATACTACACTACAGGTATACTTCACTACAGGTATACTTCACTACAGGTATACTGCACTACAGGTATACTTCACTACAGGTATACTTCACTACAGGTATACTGCACTACAGGTATACTTCACTACAGGTATACTTCCCCTCTTTCTAGTTTACAGTAAACCGTAAAGTGTCCTTCAGGCTGTCTACACTTAGGTCCATTTAACTTGTAAACAAAGAAGTGAATCAGTGTTTGTTGTTAATAAAAGTACAGTGACTGTTGTGTTTAGTTTACCTGAGGATAATAATAATAATAATAATAATAATAATAATAATAATAATAATAATAATAACAATAATAATAATAATAATAATAATAATAATAATAATAATAATAATAATAATAATAATAATAATAATAATAATAATAATAATAATAATAATAATAACAATAATAATAATAATAATAATAATAATAATAATAATAATAATAATAATTTTCCTCTTCGCATTAATATATTATTATCATTATTACCATTCTTGTTATTTAATATTTAAAAAAATTACTATTAATAATATGAACGTAAACACTATGCAACAAGTCTTGTACACACACACACACACGTACACTCACACTATGCAACAAGTCTTGTACACACACACACACGTACACTCACACTATGCAACAAGTCTTGTACACACACACACACGTACACTCACACTATGCAACAAGTCTTGTACACACACACACACGTACACTCACACTATGCAACAAGTCTTGTACACACACACACACGTACACTCACACTATGCAACAAGTCTTGTACACACACACACACACGTACACTCACACTATGCAACAAGTCTTGTACACACACACACACACACACACACGTACACTCACACTATGCAACAAGTCTTGTACACACACACACACACACACACGTACTCACAGTGTGTAACTAGTCCGGTACACACGACAAAGCTCCGCCGGGTATAGCTCCCTCGACACATCTCCTGCATGACGTCAGCGTGTTATTGCCAAGGATGGACCTTCACCTTAACTCTGTCATCCAAACTCTTCACCTTGAACCATAACCTTCTGCTGTGACCTTGATTTTGGTCCTATTGTATCAAAAAATATTATCCCTTTGTCCTAAATCATTATTCTAAAAATATGTAGAGTTTGATGATGATTGTTCTTCTCGTTGTTGGGATATTTAAACAACTACTTACATTATGATAGCTGCATCCGTCTTAAGTGTACATTGTATATTGTATAACATGATAATATATCCAACCATATTATATATGTTTTCATTATTTTTTACTCCTGGACATTATTATTTCCACGTACTATATAATATAACAAACTTGTGGGTTAATTAAGAAAATTTATGCTTTAGGTATGTACAGTAGTTGCTGCCACGCGAGGATTCAACTCACGTGTGGGCGACACACACACACACACATACACACACAAGAACACAATGCACACAAACACACACATCACACACATACACAAAATAAAATTCTCACTTATGTTAGAGACAAATATACACAAAGACACCTGACCGGTGCATCCTGTGGCCTTGGTGAGAGGTAACTCCACGACACTAATGCAAAAAAACATCTCTGGTCCGGAACATATAATTCTCTGTGTTTATGTTTTACCTAATGATGGCTGAGTCAAGGTTGTGTGTGTGTGTGTGTGTGTGTGTGTGTGTGTGTGTGTGTGTGTGTGTGTGTGATTGTTTGTGTATGTATGTGTGTGTGGGGGGGGGGTGCGCGCGCGCGCACACAGGTTGGTGTAATGCGTCTAGTATGGCAGCTTTATGTCAGTGTTAAGGTGCAGGCATTGCTTGCACCTCTCGCTTTCAGCTACCGCCGCTGGCTAGCCCTCGTGGCGAACAGGGAAGCAACTTGCGTAAGTCTTCCCCTGCCAGTACACAGCCTCTTCACCATCAACACTCCTGCTGTGCCTCCTCGTGGCAACACACGGTAACTGGGTGCCTCGTGGGCCCAGGCTAGACCAGCAGGGGATCTCGGAGTAGCAGTTGGCCCCAGAGGGACGGCGCATAGGCCCACTGGCATGTGGTCACGTCCTGGTGCCTACCAATCACTGTCACCAACTGTAGGAGGAACATCGAGGCCACCATTGTCCATGAACAACTACGCTGGACTGGCCATGTTACCTGCATGGATGACAGTAGACTGCCAAAGCAGCTACTTTTCAGTCACCTAACGAATAGTAAACGTAACGCTGGCGGGCAACTGAAAAGGTATCAGGATAGTCTTAAGACAAACCTGAAAAAGCGCCAAATCGACCCCCTCACCTGGGAGACGATTACTCCACACCGTAACGCTTGAAGTAGCACGAAACGAGAAGGTGCCAATACGTTCGACTTGGCCCGACCCGACTACATACCAAGGCAGACAAGCGCCAGCGCCGAAAAGACCCTGCAGCCGCCCCTCCCGCACTATATGTAGCCCTCCACACGTGTCACATCTGTGGACGACACTGCCGGTCCCGTATCGGCCTCTTTAGTCACCTCAGAACTCACCAACGTAGGTGACATCCTTAATAGCTCGTATCGGTTTATCATAGTAGGATGATCGTCATACTCGATTCCGAGTGACAGCAAAGTAGTAGTAGTAGTGTGCGGAAGGTAACATAGAAATATATAAAGAACATATTACAACAGATAGGGCAAATCCAGACTTCAGTTACGGGGTGTCCAAGTGTAGGTTGGGGGTGTCCTTGGGAAGGAAAGGGAGGGACAGAGGAAACAAGGGAAGGGTGGAAGATATAAGCAGGCAACCGTACCACCACTTTCTCTAACATAAACAACAACGGTAATTACTCTCTGACATCACACTTACCTGATCACGAGGATGTCATTGAAGATGTATAATACAGGGGAGGTATATTAAGGGTATGTAAATGAGATGATGATATTTTATATATGCTTATAATATTAAAGGTATGTTCATGATTTATTACCCAACCTAACCTAACTTAACCTAACCTAGGCTAGGATAGAATGCAATATCCTCGATAGTGGTAGATTTTGAGATGGTAGATGATGCGTACAGTGGAGAGGAAGAAGTGCGTACCAGGCGTAAATAGTTATGTTGCCTCACACGACCCTGAAGCACTGTCAAGGTTGTGTACCGGTGGAGCAAGCGACCACACCCACCTCCACACACACACGGGGGTCATACAGGAAGGGAGGTCCGCTATCATCATTACGCCACCCTCCTCCCTTCTCTCTCTCTCTCCCTCTATACATATATAAAGCCAGGAAACATTATCTGTGTTGCTTGCAGTCTGACACGCGCTTGTTAAGGTAAGGACATGAACGAGGATCTTACTGTGACGCTGAGGGTACGTAGTTGTTCTCTGTACTTGTTTTGTTCATATAGAAGAACTTTTAAGATGTTTACGTGATTTTAGTTTACTTTATCCTCTTTACAACTCATCGGTCTGTTAGCCGCTTGGGCGATCGGTCACGTCTCTGTTACACACTGTTGGCAGGCACTGGGCATGCACCGGCTCCTGAATGTATCTGAACCTGCTCCAGTGTTGGTCAAGTCTGGTCTTGAAACAGCTCACACTCGGTGCCGTCACAACAATCTCTGGCAGGTTTTTACAACAGTTCACAACTTTCCATAAAAGTTTGCCCTGGCAGTTGACTGAACTCTTGTGACATTTTCAAGCCTAAAGCTGTGACCTCTCGTGGGGGGGGGGGTATCCGGCAGCTCCAGATATGGGTACTCGACTGAGAAATGTCTTCTGTGTCAAAGCACTTGGACCAATTTTCTGGATCTTCATACGTTATTTGCTCATTTATCAGGGGATTTGTGAACGTAATTTGTTCACCCACATTCTACAATATCCTCTGAACAAGTTTCTAAGTCAGTGTACGTAAATTGTTCATCTAGAAGTCCTTCGAATAATATTGAGGCCCTGTGTACGTGTTCTGTTCATCTAGATATGTCTTCAGAACAACTTAAATGATTGATGTACTTGACTTTAAGGGTTAATGACTCTCTGTACGTGATTGGCCCATAGCTAACTCCCAGCCCTGTCGAGTCTCAGTTCAACCTTTATGCCATTTTGTCTCACCTTACTGTTTACGGTCTTTATATACCAACACTGCCTAAGTCTATCTATCTATCTATCTATCTATCTATCTCTATACATTTAGCTGAGACTAAATTTGTATTAGCAGGCAGGATGGTGGTGGTGTGGAGGGCGGCCCTGAGTGTGTGGGTGTTGGTGCTGATCCACGTTGTCTGCGGCCAGGAAGCCTTCTACCAGAACTACGCTTATACCAAGGTACTACTACTGCTACTACTGCTGCTACTTCTACTGCTATGACTACTGCTACTACTGCTGCTACTACTACTACTGCTATGACTACTGCTACTACTGCTGCTACTTTTTTTTAAACGTGGCCTCCATCCTCCCCCAATAGCCACACCTTCGCCGCCATTTTATTACCTTAAAATTAAATATCCTACAACTACTACTACTACTACTACTACTGCTATGACTACTACTACTATTACTAATGATAATAATAATAATAATAATAATAATAATAATAATAATAATAATAATAATAATAATAATAATAATAATAATAATAATAATAATAATAATAATAATAATAATAATAATAATTATAATAATAATAACAATAATAATAATAATAATAATAATAATAATAATAATAATAACAACACGAAAAGCATGTGTGTGTGTGTGTGTTTGTGTGTGTTAAAAACGTCCATAATGTGTCTATAAATATCAAGTGTTGCATAAGAGTGTTAAGAAGGCGTGTGCGTTGTGTTTCAGGTGATGGGAGAGTGTCTGGGAGAGAGAGTGTACCAGGACTACCTACAGAGGGTGGCAGTAGCGAGGAGAGAGTGTAATACCCAAACCACGACACACAATAGGCCTCCTGGATCGTCTCGGCTCACGCCCTTCGCCTTCAACTTCCCTCAGGTGCGAGCTGTTTTTTGCCGTTCTTAAAAAGGTCAAATACCTTCAGATACACGAGTCCTCACAGGTCAAAGTTCACGAGATGCTGACAAATTAGTGTTTTTGTTTATTTTAATGTTGATGTAGTATTGTTATTACCATCTGAGAGAGCAGTGTGTGTGTTGGGGTCGATTAAACTGAGGCCATGTGTGATTCCATTCATTGGTTCCGCATCCACCTCTTCACCCGCACTTTGCAAGGTTAAAAAACCACAACCATGATGTAATTTTACAACTGAAACCGCAGCAGCGCAACACTCACAGGGTCTAAAATCGCCCCCGCACCGCTCGTAGTGTCATGGGTCAGCTCAGGCCGAGTCAAAAGTTTGTAGGTGACTTCTTTTCAGTGTACACCGGGCCAGCGAGGTCTAACTCTGGTACCTCAAGATTTCCTCACGCGTCACTACAGACGGTGTTCCCGCCCGGTGCTCCACACTAGAGTATTACCGCCAGGTGATGACACGACTTCTGCCTCTCAACTTATATATAACTCTACTTTCTTCCTGCAGGGAGGGACGGTGCAGCAGCCTGGAGTATTTTCCCAACCACCTGGAGTATTTTCCCAACCACCTGGAGTATTTCACCAACAACCGGTATTTTCCCAGCCATCTGGGGTATTTTCACAACGGCCTGGGGTATTTTCCCAACCACCTGGGGTATTTGCTCAGCAACCTGGGGTATTTTCCCGTCAGCCGGGAGTATTTTCACAGCAACCTGGAGTATTCTCCCAACCGCCAGCACTGCAGGGTGAGGGCGGCTCCCCCCAGCAGGTGCTCCACCCAGGGTCCTTCATACCCTCAAGACAAGGCCTCCCCTTCGGCCCCCGCCTCCCTAACTTCCGCCAAGTAGGTTAACTTATCAATTTAGTATTTAGTTAGTGAGCAGCCAAGCTTAGAGATATATTAAAGAGACACTAACCTTTGAGAGACATCAAAGAGAGACACTAACCTTAGAGAGACAGAGACACCCCTAAATATCATTACTGTCTCTCTGAAGCGTGCCGATCAAGCGTGTTGGCCAGACAGGTTCAAACAATTTGCTAATTAATGTTAAATATTTAGACCAATTCTGTATTAGTTTTTTATATAATATATCTTGAATTTATATATTAACATGCTCTTGATACTGACCTCTGCTTGAATCACTCGCTTGAATCTCTGTATGACCCCTGTTTGACCTTATGACCCCTGTTTGACCTTATGACCCCTGTTTGACCCCAGAAGCGGGCCCTGGTGCTGGGGAGGTCAGAGATACAAGACGCCATGAAGAAGGTGTTGGCGTTGGTGGGTAACTTCACCTGTGTTCTCACCAGACTGGGAGTGGTGAGTTAACCTAAGCATTATTAACATGTTAGATTATGTTAACATTAATGAAGTGTTAGATACGTGTTGTTAATATTAATGCTAGATGTCGGTGTCAACATTATTAACTTTGTTAGATATCAATATTGTTAACGACCTATAGTATCAGTATTTAACATGTTAATTAACGATATTAACACATAATAACTAACGATGTTAGCACGTTTTTAGATAATAACTTCCAATATTATTACTATTTGTCATATTAAAAGCCGATATTAACACTACTTTACACGTTAACACCTGATATTAACACTATTTATCATGTTAACTCCCGATATAAACACTATTTTACATGTTAACTCCCGATATTAACACTCTCTAACATGTTAATTCCACGCAGGTTAACAAGGAGCTGGATATTAACTTTGAGGGATTGGCAACCAACGTGTTCAACCAACCTGTTGCTGTCCCCTTGAAAAATGACCTGATCTCTGCTATTGAGTACTGTAGGGATATGGCGGTAAGTCTCTCTCTCTCTCTCTCTCTCTCTCTCTCTCTCTGTCTGTCTCTCTCTCTCTCTCTCAGTGTCGGTCTAATAGCATAAATATATATATATATATATATATATATATATATATATATATATATATATATATATATATATATATATATATATATATATATATATATATATATATATATATATATATATATATTCTTTACACAGGACATGACAGTATCACCTCAACATCCAAAATAAGTCTCAGTAACCTTGAAATTCCGGGGACGATTATAAAGAGAACGCCAGACATCAACACGTAAACATGAAGGTTATTCTGTTCTGTGACTCGACTCTTTTTGAGGAGAATTAATCGTTTATGGTTCTATCCTGGTATGCTTCGCCAGTCATTTTTTGAGTATCAGTCATGGTGATTCGTGAGAGAGACGGAGAGACAGTGGGAGGTGGAGAAGGAGAGAGAAAGAAGAAAAGCTTTTGATTGCAGTCGCTTATGATAGGGGAGATATAAAGAGAGAGAGAGATGAAGTAAGAGAACTAGAGGTTGAGAGAGAGAGAGAAAGAGGGAGACAGAGAAATTAAGAACACTAACTCACTCACACATAACATAAACTTAAGTAAAACAATGCATACCATAATTTCGTCACCTGCGCACGTCTCACCCGTTGTGTCTTCCTCTTAGTCACAATTGTCTTTCATTCTCTTATTTCCTTCCATTTTCTATCTGTCACTCCATTAATCATTGATTTATTCTTTATTTATTCTTTACTACGTTTATCAAGTATTTATCACTTGTACTAACCCACACAACTATTATTCAACTATAGTGTTCAAATTATAAAAAATCACGTTTAAATTCAACATATCACGTTCAAATTCAATATACCACGTTCGAATTAAATATATCACGTTCAAATGCAATATACCACTTTTAAATTTCTACATATCACGTCCAAATTAAATATATTACATTTAAATTTTATACTTTCAGCTATGTTTACCCCTTGAGAAGCAACAGTCAGCCGTCCCGCACCAGCTACAGCGTCTCAAGGCCTTCATCAAGTGTGAGAAGGAGGAGCGACTGTCTGCCTGCCTCAAACACGACCTCAGGAAGAACGTACACCGAGTCGACCTCAGCCTCTTGCCTAATAATGGAGGGAGAACGGATGACTTGGAGACATTGTTCAGTTTGTTAGTTGGCGCCGAGTCTGCCAATGAATTAGAATTGATCTAGAAAGAGAAAGACAGAGAAAACGAGAGGATTAGAAAAAGGAATTTGTGTACGTTGAGTCTAACTATTAACAGTGCGTAACAGAGACGTGACCGATCGCCCAAGCGGCTAACGACCCGATCAGTGATGAAGAGGATAAAAGTAAATGCTCGTTCTCTGAGCTGACTGGAGACTATAAACTATTAACTGGTCTAAACTATCTCTTATATACAAAAAGCTGTCTAACTAACAGGAACTGGTCTAAGCTGGTCCCCACACCGGGGATCGTTATAACATCTGAATTCTCTATAAAACTACTTCGTTACAGAATATCTAAGTTACCCCGACACGTTTTCTGTAATACACTCATTTTCATCTTTTCTTAGATGGATAGATAAATAGATAGATAGATATATAGATAGATAGATAGATAGATAGATAGATAGATAGATAGATTTTCAGTAAAATCTTAATGTAATAAATTATATTAATATTTCTTTTATAATTATAAAAAATACTATATAATCATGCATAATTTTCATAAATAAAACATTGAAATATAAAATCGTTTCATTTACAAAAGAAAATATAATTAGCAACTGGTAAATTGTCATTAAAAGCATAAATACTAACGTTCCATATATGAAAACCCTAATCACAACTATCAGTTAATTCCTGAATACTGTCGATAAGGAGAAAGATGTTGGCGGAGCAACGAGTGGCGGCAGCAGTGAGGGAAAAACAAACCAGGACTAAAGTATTATACGTTGTATCTTATAGTATAAAGTTAAGAAAATGTTCCATTACCTTTATAAGTCTCTCGTACGTCCCCATCTGGACTACTGTATAGGGGCAGGGAAACCTTACCTCCAGAAAGACTTAACATCCCTAGTAAAGGTGCAACACAGACTGACTAAGATGATGACTGAACTATTATCTCCATTATCCGGGTAGACTTAAGACTAACAACTCTTCAGACAAGACACAGTAGGGCAGATCTCAGAGAGACATTCACAGTCTTGAGAGTGATGGACAACGTGAACCCAGACCATTATATGTGATGTCACGCACCACCAACAAGAGGGGTACAAGCTCCCCAACATGTCCTGCTGAACGAACATAAGGAAATACTTCTGCACACACAGGCTGGTAGACCTATGGAACAGTCTACCAGTTAAAGCTGTGGTGGTGGTAGACCTATGGAACAGTCTACCAGTTTAAGCTGTGGTGGTGGTAGACCTATGGAACAGTCTACCAGTTCAAGCTGTGGTGGTGGTAGACCTATGGAACAGTCTACCAGTTAAAGCTGTGGTGGTGGTAGACCTATGGAACAGTCTACCAGTTAAAGCTGTGGTGGTGGTAGACCTATAGAACAGTACCAGTTTAAGCTGTGGTGGTGGTAAGACCTATGGAACAGTCTACCAGTTCAAGCTGTGGTGGTGGTAGACCTATGGAACAGTCTACCAGTTAAAGCTGTGGTGGTGGTAGACCTATGGAACAGTGTAGACCTATGTACCAGTTAAAGCTGTGGTGGTGGTAGACCTATGGAACAGTCTACCAGTTAAAGCTGTGGTGGTGGTAGACCTATGGAACAGTCTACCAGTTAAAAGCTGTGGTGGTGGTAGACCTATGGAACAGTCTACCAGTTCAAGCTGTGGTGGTGGTAGACCTATGGAACAGTCTACCAGTTAAAGCTGTGGTGGTGGTAGACCTATGGAACAATCTACCAGTTAAAGCTGTGGTGGTGGTAGACCTATGGAACAGTCTACCAGTTAAAGCTGTGGTGGTGGTAGACCTATGGAACAGTCTACCAGTTAAAGCTGTGGTGGTGGTAGACCTATGGAACAGTACCAGTTTAAGCTGTGGTGGTGGTAAGACCTATGGAACAGTCTACCAGTTCAAGCTGTGGAACCAAGAACAGTACTGAGCATCAAAATAGCCCTAAACAAGATTATCAAGAACAATGGAGGGATCCTACACCGGCCACTGGCTCCTTCCCTCTGCAAGGCCACCTCCAGTGGGTGGCCATTAGGTAGATGTATAAAATATGCACAAATTTACTGAAACGAAGAATTGATGTAGATGATGTAGAAAATGTGATATATTCGTAAAATATAGATAGATAGATAGATATTCAATAATCGTCATACAAGTTTTTACAATTAATAATGATAATAATAATAATAATAATATATATATATATATATATATATATATATATATATATATATATATATATATATATATATATATATATATATATATATATATATATATATATATATATATATATATATATATATGGCCACTTAAACCGTGTTGTGGCGCTGTAGGAGACACGGCCACCTTAAATGTTTTACGATGGTGTTTTTCGCGTGTTGTCTTGGATGGCGACACCACTACAAACAACATTATAATGACACTTGAGTTTTATTAATAGTGGACCTTGATGGCGGACAGCAACCTTTACCTGTCCAAGTCATAGTTACCCCGAAATTTTTATTTCTTAGATAGATAGATAGATAGATAGACAGACATACAGATAGATAGATAGATGGACAGACAGATAGATAGATAGATAGATAGATAGACAGACAGACAGACAGATAAATGGACAGACAGACAGATAGATAGATCGATAGACAGCAGGGCCGTAACCAGCCTTGATGGCGTCCAGGGCAAGGTCTGAATTTGGCGCCCCCCTTCACAGCTCCCCACCACCACTAACCCTCCACTTCCACCACAAATAATTATATCAACTAAATTTTAATTAATATAAATATTGTAGCATAATAGTATGGTTGTATCAAGGCTTGAACAAATTAACTTCAAAAACGGGAATAATTTTCTATCAGTAATCACCAATTTGCTGCTCAAAACGCACATGGTCTACACTCAGTTCAGAAAATACCATAACTTTGTGGATTGCTTAACTTTTCATTATAAAATTCAATACTAATCTTGGACAATTCTGATGACAGATTGACCAGACATTTCTGGTAGAGTAATCTTTTCGTTTTGTTATTTTCCTTTGAAAAAAATTACTTTAAAAAATTCATAGGCCCCCTTACCTTGGCGCCCAGGGCGGCTTCCTCTTCTGCCACCCACTAGGCAGTGACGGATTACGTTTAATAGGGGCGTGAGGCACAGATCAACTTGGGGCCCCCTACCCTCAAGGTGTGTGTGTATATATATATATATATATATATATATATATATATATATATATATATATATATATATATATATATATATATATATATATATATATATATCAAGAACAAAATATACCAAAATTTATCAATGGTTTCATCAATATTAAGCTTCTGCAAAGTAACACATTCAATGTTCATAAGAGACAGAAAATTGAGACGTTGCTAGAACATCGTTGAACGAAGTTCATGTTTTATATGCTTCAACTTCGAGAATCTTTGGATTTGGGGGCCCCTTAGAGTCGGGGGGCATGGATTATCCGGCCCTGCCACTAGGTACCCCCTGATAGACAGATAGATAGATGTAGGAACCTTTGAGAATCCATCTTTAAATCGTTTCTCTGTCTTCACCTCCCCCCCTCCATCCCAAGTCTATCTCTCTCATAAATATTTTCCTCACAATTACATCTTGTTGATAATTTACCACTTGTGTTATCACGTAGGATGTTGCCATGGTGATAACCAGCTGACCAAGGGGGTATATAAGACCCCAGACATCCCTCCTGGCCACACACGACTGAAGTGGACAGCTAAGCCCACACCTGCTGCTGCTACTGCTCTGTGACGACATAGTTCAGGTATGAGGAACACCGCTTCTGGTGTTCCGTGGTCTTCTTCAATGTTCAGGCATTATTACCGACCTACCTAATTTACCAAATGTCCATCGTAACAAGAGGTAGCTAAGACGGGCAATATATGGTGATGGCCTGTGTAGGATCCCCCATTGTTCTTGATGATAGTCTTGTCAAGGGTTATTTTCACTACCAGTATTGTTCTGGCTTCCCTAGTTCGTGCTGGTAGACTGTTCCATAGGTCTACCACCACCACAGCTTGAACTGGTAGACTGTTCCATAGGTCTACCACCACCACAGCTTGAACTGGTAGACTGTTCCATAGGTCTACCACCACCACAGCTTGAACTGGTAGACTGTTCCATAGGTCTACCACCACCACAGCTTGAACTGGTAGACTGTTCCATAGGTCTACCACCACCACAGCTTGAACTGGTAGACTGTTCCATAGGTCTACCACCACCACAGCTTGAACTGGTAGACTGTTCCATAGGTCTACCACCACCACAGCTTAAACTGGTAGACTGTTCCATAGGTCTACCAGCCTCTGTGTGCAGAAGTATTTCCTTATGTTCGTTCAGCAGGACATGTTGGGGAGCTTGTACCCCTCTTGTTGGTGGTGCGTGACATCACATAATAATATAGCTCGATATATTTGATCAATACCAGTGCCTTCTTCCATTGTGAGCTACTCTGTTTATGACCACACTTTGTTGCCTACCTCCGACCTGGTGCTTCATTCACCTAACTACAAGATTTTACCTGTAATGTCATGCGGTTGGATCTTGGAGACTAACCGCACATATATACTGTAGTCTGTGTTCTATAAAGTTCTTCTGTCGTGTTCACACTCTGAAAAAGTGTGAAAAAAATTGTTTAAATTAGTTATTGTATTTTTTGCTGTTCCTCTAATACATATAAAATGGTTGAGGTGTTCTGGTGTAAATTAAGCTGTTATGAGGTAAATTGAACTTGAATCTACTGTTTTTATTGTTTAGCCATCATTCCTCTCTCTCTCTCTCTATCCCATGTTCACTTTTTCTCACCCAGGATGCTACGAATTGTGTTAATGATGATGGTGGTGGTGGTGGGGACAGCTCGGCGACGATCGCTTCACCAATAGATATGCCTACATGAAGGTAAACCAATGGGCCCCTTAATTCAAGTCCAGTGAGGCTGTGAGAATAATGGGCAAGGAAAGGTAGATAGATAAATACAGAGGTAGAATAATAGACAATCAGATAAAAAGGCATATTATTTAGTTGAGAATCCTATATCAAATTCATTTTTTTTTCGTCATTTTAGGTGTAAGATTACATTGAAGTTTATATTTATAAAAATAATTTATTTGTTACCCAATAAACCCTTTTCTATGTTTGGCTCAACAGAGAAATGGATTCATGGGAAACTTGCTTTTATTTTTATTTTTTTTTGTTCAAAGTATTCATTATAACAAGAAATTATACTGTTTAAGAGAATGGTATTGACTTTCTGACTCACACACATACCATTTTATCCTTCCCAACAGGTCACAGAAGACTGCCTCGGGAAAGTCAAAGCTTACAATTGGAGGAGAAGCATTTCACAGGCAGTCAAGGCTTGTTATGGTGAACAAATCTCTTCCTCCCTCACCAAGAAGCAAATCAAAAGAATTCATTCACGCGATCCGACATTGTACAGGATACTGGCAACCTAGCAAACGTGGGTGATAGATAGTGCATGGATAGATAGATAGATTCATAGATATATACGTAAGGAAATAATCCAATAAAAGATAAACGAATAGAAACAGCCAGACAGATAGTTAAAGAGGCTGACAGATAGTTAAATAGACACACAATTGCAGGATCTTAATTGTTTCTCTTACTATAGACAACACAACATACTGTATATCATTTCTCTTGATTTTTTCTCATTTTTGTATTCATTTACGGCTTTGTTATTATTATTATTTTTTCATTATATTTTTTATTATTAATTAATTAATTATTATTATTATTATTATTATTATTATATTTTCGCCCCTCAGGCCCTGATGTGGGTCAGTAATGGAAGCAAATTGTGAAATAGCTTTAGGATGAAGACAGATAACACACAAACTGTAGGATGATCTTAAAAACGTTATTTCAAACGTACGGTATATTACTCTATCCTCTTCGCCACTGATCGACTCGTTAGCAGCTTGGACCAACCGCCGTTGTTGCACACTGTTGGTAAGTACTGGGCATGCTCTGGCTCCAGAGTATATCTGTACCTGCGCCAGTGTTGGTCAAGACTGGTTTTGAAAGAGCTCACACTCGGTGCCACCACAACAGTCTCTATAATAGCAGGTTATTACAATAGTTCACAACTTCTCAAAAAAATTGCCCTGACAATTTTCTGAACTTGTGGCTTCTTTAACCTCCAGGTACGAACTCTCGACTGAGAAATGCCCTATGAGGTGCTTATAAACTTGTATTAAATCACCCCTTGCCCGGACATCCTGTAGCCAAAGATGTTATAGAGTCCCTGAAAGCTGTAGGATATGTTTAGAAGCCAAAGGATGAAGTAATAACGACCCTAAAGCCTGTAGGATATTCTTAGATGCTTTAAGATGAAGCTAAGACAACACTCAGTATCCAACAAAAGGTAATATGATCACAGATGCATGTTGTGTTACAGGTACCCAGTCCGTTCTTAACCACCAACACCCAGGCAGCCTATAAACCCATGTTTTGCCCTCAACAAATTGGGCAGCTGGGCCAACGGGGGTACCAATTCGTCTTCCCCTCTGTTCGACAGGTGAGGTTTACCTCTAAACGCCCATGAATATCCATTAGTGTATCGTGATTCATCTTATCTACCCTTATACCCCTTAATTTCCCTTTTGAACACCCTTTAACTAAAAAAAAAAGTTAAGAGAACCACCTACCTTTCACTACTGTATATATATATATATATATATATATATATATATATAATTTGTCATCTCTGTTTAGTGTGGATTTTATTATATTATTATAATTATTATTATTATCACATACCTAATGAATGTGTGGGATGTACAGGTAAGGCAGACAAATGAACCATTGTACGACCTTACAGTCATGGAGAACATCGTCAACAAGGCGAAGGCTAAAATGAGCAACTTTACCTGTTCGATGAAAAAGATGGGATATGTGAGTATCTGTCGCTATCCTGCTCTGAGGTGATGTTATAGTTAAGATAATGTTTATAGTTAAGATAATGTTTATAGTTAAGATAATGTTTATAGTTAAGATAATGTTTACAGTTAAGCTTGTCTTCTAAAGTTACTCTCATAGATAATAATTATTCTGAAGCATTTTAGTATGGTAAATATTCTCTCTCTCTCTCTCATCAATCATCTTACTCCCGCAGCTGGACAATGAGTTCAACCTAAGATTCGACTACATAAAAAAACATATTGAAAATTTTAACCTGAATACCCAGCTTACTAAGGACCTGCATGGCAACATTGACAAGTGCAAGCAAATTTTGGTAAGTGACAGTCAATGCTTCACCATCCTGTTCCTTCCTACATCATCCTACAAGTACAGTATATTATTCCTACACCATCCTACAAGTACAGTATATTATTCCTACACCATCCTACAAGTACAGTATATTATTCCTACACCATCCTACAAGTACAGTATATTATTCCTACACCATCCTACAAGTACAGTATATTATTCCTACACCATCCTACAAGTACAGTATATTATTCCCAACATCCTCAAGTACAGTATATTATTCCCACACCATCCCACATACAGTATATTATTCCTACACCATCCTACAAGTACAGTATATTATTCCTACACCATCCTACAAGTACAGTATATTATTCCTACATCATCCCACAAGTACAGTATATTATTCCTACACCATCCTACAAGTACATATATTATCCCTACATCATCCCACAAGTACAGTATATTATTCCTACATCATCCTACAAGTACAGTATATTATTCCTACATCATCCCACAAGCAGTATATTATTCCTACACCATCCCACAAGTACAGTATATTATTCCTACACCATCCCACACAGTATATATTATTCCTACACCATCCTACAAGTACAGTATATTATTCCTACACCATCCTACAAGTACAGTATATTATTCCTACACCATCCTACAAGTACAGTATATTATTCCTACACCATCCTACAAGTACAGTATATTCCCACACCATCCTACAAGTACAGTATATTATTCCTACACCATCCTACAAGTACAGTATATTATTCCTACACCATCCTACAAGTACAGTATATGTTCCTACATCATCCCACAAGTACAGTATATTATTCTACACCATCCTACACAAGTACAGTATATTATTCCCACACCATCCCACAAGTACAGTATATTATTCCTACACCATCCTACAAGTACAGTATATTATTCCTACATCATCCCACAAGTACAGTATATTATTCCCACACCATCCTACAAGTACAGTATATTATTCCTACACCATCCCACAAGTACAGTATATTATTCCCACATCATCCCACAAGTACAGTATATTATTCCTACACCATCCTGACAAGTACAGTATATTATTCCCACACCATCCCACAAGCACAGTATATTATTCCTACACCATCCCAAGCACAGTATATTATTCCTACATCATCCTACAAGTACAGTATATTATTCCTACATCATCCTACAAGTACAGTATATTATTCCTACACCATCCTACAAGTACAGTATATTATTCCTACACCATCCTACAAGTACAGTATATTATTCCACATCCACAAGAAATTCCTACACCATCCTACAAGTACAGTATATTATTCCTACACCATCCTACAAGTACAGTATATTATTCCTACACCATCCTACAAGTACAGTATATTATTCCTACACCATCCTACAAGTACAGTATATTATTCCTACACCATCCTACAAGTACAGTATATTATTCCTACACCATCCTACAAGTACAGTATATTATTCCTACACCATCCTACAAGTACAGTATATTATTCCTACACCATCCTACAAGTACAGTATATTATTCCACACCATCCCACAAGTACAGTATATTATTCCTACATCATCCTACAAGTATATATTATTCCTACATCATCCTACAAGTACAGTATATTATTCCTACACATCCCATAATATATTATTCTACACCATCCCACAAGTACAGTATATTATTCTACATCATCCTACAAGTACAGGATATTATTCCTACATCATCCTACAAGTACAGTATATTATTCTACATCATCCCACAAGTACAGTATATATTCCCACACCATCCTACAAGTACAGTATATTATTCCTACATCATCCCACAAGTACAGTATATTATTCCTACACCATCCCACAAGTACAGTATATTATTCCCACATCATCCTACAACAGTATATTATTCCTACACCATCCCACAAGTACAGTATATTATTCCTACACCATCCTACAAGTACAGTATATTATTCCTACACCATCCTACAAGTACAGTATATTATTCCACACCATCCTCCAAGTACAGTATATTATTCCACATCATCCCAAGCACAGTATATTATTCCTACATCATCCCACAAGTGCATATTATTCCACACCATCCCACAAGTACAGTATATTATTCCTACACCATCCTACAAGTACAGTATATTATCCCACACCATCCTACAAGTGCATATTATTCCACATCATCCTACAAGTACAGTATATTATTCCTACACCATCCACAAGTACAGTATATTATTCCCACACCATCCCACAAGTACAGTATATTATTCCTACATCATCCTACAAGTACAGTATATTATTCCTACACCATCCACACAAGTACAGTATATTATTCCTACATCATCCCACAAGGGTATATTATTCTACACCATCCTACAAGTACAGTATATTATTCCCACACCATCCCACAAGTACAGTATATTATTCCTACACCATCCCACAAGTACAGTATATTATTCCACATCATCCTACAAGTACAGTATATTATTCCTACACCATCCTACACTACAGTATATTATTCCTACACCATCCCACATACAGTATATTATTCCTACACCATCCTACAAGTACAGTATATTATTCCACATCATCCTACAAGTACAGTATATTATTCCCACACCATCCTACAAGTACAGTATATTATTCCTACATCATCCCACAAGTACAGTATATTATTCCACACCATCCTACAAGTACAGTATATTATTCCTACATCATCCTACAAGTACAGTATATTATTCCTACACCATCCTACAAGTACAGTATATTATTCCTACATCATCCTACAAGTACAGTATATTATTCCTACACCATCCTACAAGTACAGTATATTATTCCACACCATCCTCACAAGTACAGTATATTATTCCTACACCATCCTACAAGTACAGTATATTATTCCTACATCATCCCACAAGTACAGTATATTCCCACACCATCCCACAAGCACAGTATATTATTCCTACACCATCCCACAAGTACAGTATATTATTCCCACACCATCCTACAAGCACAGTATATTATTCCACATCATCCTCCAAGTACAGTATATTATTCCTACACCATCCTACAAGCACAGTATATTATTCCCACATCATCCTACAAGTACAGTATATTATTCCTACACCATCCTACAAGCACAGTATATTATTCCCACATCATCCCCACACAGTTATATTATTCCCACACCATCCCACAAGTACAGTATATTATTCCTACATCATCCTACAAGTACAGTATATTATTCCCACACCATCCTACAAGTACAGTATATTATTCCACACCATCCTACAAGTACAGTATATTATTCCTACATCATCCCACAAGACAGTATATTATTCCTACACCATCCCACAAGTACAGTATATTATTCCTACACCATCCCACAAGTACAGTATATTATTCCACACCATCCCACAAGTACAGTATATTCCCTACATCATCCCACAAGTACAGTATATTATTCCTACATCATCCACAAGTACAGTATATTATTCCCACATCATCCCACAAGTACAGTATATTATTCCTACACCATCCTACAAGTACAGTATATTATTCCTACATCATCCTGCACAAGTACAGTATATCATTCCCATCATCCCACAAGTACTATACAGGTTCCTCGTTAACCAGCCAACCGTTCAGCAGGTTGCTAACCAAACCATTGTTTCAATGGGTTTTTGGGTGATTGGTTCCAGCTCACCGAAAATTGCCTAAATTCAACAAAAAAGGGAATTAGAATGGGGGGTGGAGAAGGAAGAAGAGAAGGCATTGGGGTGGAAGAGAAGTCACCCCATGGCACCATTTCACCCATAAAATTTTAGTTCTCTTGGTGTATTTCAAGATGATTTTCTTTAAATCAACACAGCACTGCATTATATATTGTCAATATGTAAAATATATTTCAAAATGACCAATAATTTGCTTGGAAACACAGAAAAAAAGCATTTAGTTGAAGAGAGTCTCAAGCAAGATGTTACCCACTGAAAACAGAGAGAGACTAACGCCTGTCTGGTGTGTTAACAGGCTGGATGGCACGCCAGAAACTAGTTTCTTTTACCTTCAATTATGTTCAATAATTGTTAAAATGACTAAAAGTTAATATTAAACTTTTTAAAATTATTGAATAGTATAAACTTTTGATATTTACTAAAATAGTAGGGATTTAAGCCTAAAACCGATTACTGTATTGGCAGACTAATACTACAGCTGGTGGACCGCCAAATGCAGCGAAAACATGTTGAAGTCGGTTTCAGAAAAACTCGTTAATCGAGGGATTGCTCGTTAACCAAGTTAAGAATCTTATGGAAGGTAAATCTAAACTCAAATTCAAGTAACCGAGGCGCCACAACTGAGGGACCACTGTATATCATTCCTACATCATCCTACAAGTACAGTATATCATTCCTACATCATCCTACAAGTACAATATATCATTCCTACACCATCCTATCTCATATACATGCACAAAACTCATAAAAAAATGTGTTAGTGTGTGTGTGTGTGTGTGTATGTATGTGCATGTGTTTCTGTTAATATATAATAGTACTATAGCATCAACCAAGTTCCCACCATCTTCAGGAGGTTACCCGAGGACAACACAACACCACTCTCCCCCAAGTTACAGCGAATCTTGACTTTCATCCAGTGTGAGAGGAAGACTCGGCTCGCTGTCTGTTTTAAGCATGACTTGAAGAAATTCCTCGAAAACTTTGACCTCACCAATTACCCTTACTACAATCAAGATGATGATAGAGCTGCCAGTTTCTTGCTTGAAGTCTTTTGGGGTGTTGATTCTGAATTAAAGTTGTATTAGTCAGTCACTCAACAGTATAGGATGCCCCTAGAGGCCCTCCACACAGCATTGGTTACCCCCAGAGTATAGGTTGCTCCCCACTGGCCCCCCCACAGTATACAATAGGTATACCCCCAGAGATCCTCCACACAGCATAGGTTGCCCCTCAATAAGTCACCCACAGCGAGGTTACTTTTAAGATGTAGTATTGTTCATAGGATTTATTTCTCTTTTTTTTGGTGTATGGATAATGAATAATTTGTCTGTCTTGTGACATTAAACAAATGGTAATATCTAATTAATTATTATCCTTTTATACATTTATCATTCTTTCCTCTCCCTCTCCCCTTAGCTTCCTCCTCTCCCCAGTACCTTTCCCTCTCCCTTCCCCACCACTTCCTTCCATCCCCATTACTTCTCTCTCTACCCCCTCCCCTCCCTGACACCTCTCCCTCTACCTACTCACTTCCCCAACCTTGATCATAAATACAGAGGCAACCTTATAGTACCAGCAACATCCATACCAGGAAATACCTTATTAGTTCCCAACTATCTATCACTCTTCCTGGAACTATCTATCTCTTTACCTTCATATTCTACAAACTCATGTTATTATAAAAACAGATTCATATTTACTGTATAATATTTATTTGTGAAAAAAAGGAGAATGAACACTATGATGTGTTTAAAATTTTCCTTAAACTCTTTTGATAACACAAGTAAAATAAATAAGATTAACAACTATTTGGAGGCACACACACAAAAACAAAAAAAACCTTAACTTAATGGGATAGAGACAGTGGTGAGGTGTGTTAGGGTAGCTACTGTACAGGTTATAACACCACGTTGTGCATAATAATTTGCTATCATCACCAAGGTCATCATTAACTCTTACCACCAATAACTTAATACAGTATAGTCTATTAACTCGAAGCTTTTACAACTGAGGCCTAGAGTCAGTTTGCAACCAGGCAGCTGATTGGTTGGTGGACAGATACGGAAAAAATCAATATAGTCTTTTTTTATTTAATCCATCATATTTATAAAGATATTTTCAGGGATAATAACTATTGTGTTGATCTCTGATAATTTCCACAATTGAGGAAGCAAATACTTACCTTGTGAAACACTCTGGTAACATAAATATACGAAAAAGATTCCAAGTTCTCATCAACAGTCTCCACCGTGCTGCGTGACATAATGCAGAGAGTTGGAATTCACGTCTCAGAACTTGTCCGTCATGTTCTTGTTGTCTTCAAGATATTTATGTTACCAGAGTGTTTCACAAGGTAATTTTTTGCTTCCTCAATTAAGGAAATTATCAGAGATCAACACAATAGTTATTATCCCTGAAAATATCTTAATAAATATGATGGATTAAATTTAAAAAAAAAAAATACATGTACTACAGTATTGTGACTTTAACCGTATCCGCCCAACAACCAATCAGCTGCCTGGCTACAAACTGACCCTAGGACTCAGTAGCAAGCTTCAAGATAATACACTAGAACTATCATCACCATTAACTTACTGCGGTATATATCATCATCGAGGTCATCATTAACTTTCATCAACACTAATTTACCTTACTATCATCACCGCTAACTTCCAGTACTGTTCTATCATCACCACTAATTTACTATACCTGTACTAACTTACTATCATAGTCTATCTCATCATTACACATCTTGCAGATTGTGTTCACTTATTATAATAATATCCGTAAATCCATTTTCAAGTCATTACTAAAACAGGTGTTATAACAATACACAAATACTGTTTAAAATATGATAATATATTCCTTTTCTTGAGCAACCAATATAATCTTATACAGTACTGTACTGTAGAACCTCTATACACCAAAATTAAATTTATTTTCGGACATTATCGGGCGCTAAAGATCGCCCCTATATTCATACGTGCGCTTGAACGTCTGTGCATGGGTGTTCCATTCTCATCTCCAAGTTTTTTCTTTAATCATAAGGGATACGAGCACATTAAAATTATTTTTTCCACAAATTCTGTGGCATAGGTCACTGACCCACATTGGGGCCTGAGGGGCAAAAATTTAATACTCCTGTAATAATAATTCAGATAAGTAAAAAAAAAAAAAAAAAAAAGCTGCCTATCTACCAATTGGACAAACTAAAATCGTTCCGGACCACGGGAGTTTCCGGACCACAGAATGCCGGACTACAGAGGTACAACCTGTACTGTACTTACAGACAACACTTTACAGTACGAAACAGTCATATCAGTGAAAACAGATGTTGACAACAGTTCAGATAAGCAAGGTTATGTCCATAGATTCACATTTTGGGGGCTTTTGCTTTTTCTGGACTGGGGTCTGCCTCAATTAGTCTGGTGTATCAAGGTAATGTACTAGTACTGTACTGTAGTAGTAGTAGTAATGTTAAAATAATAGGAACATTTGTTATATCCTTAATAAAACCAAAGATCCACATCCTCAACAGCAAAGTAACAATGTTATAATTATGCACCTATTATACCTATTGTACAGTATAATGGCAACTTTCGTGTCCATCAAAACAACTAACATCAACACACATACAGTACACATTTCATTCTGTTTTTATACAAAATGTTTCACACCGTATGACATTGTTGTCATCTCACAAACAAAAATGTAAATCTTCCTCTTAAATGTTAAGCCTTAAAAAATCTTTCTTCCATGAGGACTAGAGCACATTAACTCACCCAAGCGGTGGTCCCTCGCCAAGCATGACTATACTCAACAGGGATTCCATCTTGCACAATTGATTCTTCTGACATCAAATATTTGCATTACACAGCAGGCATGGGGGTAATTAATTAACTTAATGTAATCAGAAAAAGATAATACAAAATATATTAATGAGGAAAGAATGAAAATTAACTTAACTCGTTAAATATGTATGTTAATTGCCCCCATGTTTGATACACAGAGATGGTATGCAGTAACAAGGGTTCAGATCTGTGTATCACCCAACACAAAATTAACAACAGATCCCATGTAGTGTGTGAACATAAGACTATCTGGTTATTAATTCATCCATGGGAGGAGAGGTAATGGTCTATCTCACTATGTAATGGTTACATGCTTAAAGGTCATGAGGTTAGGTGGTGGGAGGAAACGGGGTTTGTTAGTCAGGTACAGTATGTAAATGAGCTTTGATTGTAGTGGTCATTATGTGCTGGTGTTGTGGTGTGTGGTGGTGGGCCAGGCAACTTGACCAGCAGGAAATCCAAGATGGTTTACACTTATTCTACCATCATGATTTACAATGTTTTGTGAAGTGGATTTATGTACAGTACTGTATACATACAGGTTTTGTGAGAGAAATGGGTATCGGTACATATGCAGGTATCTCTTCACATACAAATGGGTTAGGTTAAATAATAATACAGAAAGTCCTCGCTTAACGTCGGGGTTACGTTCCTAAAAATGCGACGTTATACGAAACAACGTTAAGCAGATCAATTTTCCCAAGAAATAGATAAAATACAGGAGTTAAGTTCCCGTGCCTCCCTTTGCCCCATGAAACACACTACATATGCAGAAAATCATTGCCATTTCTATACAAAATAATGCATGCATATACAACTACTAAGCTTGTATTGGTAATCACCGATGGGCGGAGGTGGTAGAGCGAGTGTGTGTGGTGGGTAGTGAAGCAGAGGAGGTGGATGGCGGAAGGGGAAGAGTGTGGCGGGAGCGGGGGAGGAGGGTGGTGAGACACTGGGAGAGCGTAGCGGGGCCAGACGAGAGAGGGCGATGCGCCGTAAAAAGTAATCCGTGACCACGCAAAACAACGTAGCATCGGATCACCGGGACGTTATACGAATTTTTGATCTAAAAATTTTAGCGACATAGTACCGAAACAACGTTAAGCGGGACGACGTTAAGAGAGGACTTACTGTAATAATAACAATCATAATAATAATAATCGCTAAGTGAATTTTCGTATCTCGAATAACAGAACAAATGGGAAAAATAGGGTTCAATTCCCAATAACAAAACTACCCCAATATCATATGCCAAAAACGGTTCACAAACAAGGTAAAACCTACCTAATTAATGACAAATACTGTACAGTATTTTCACCATTTAACGAACGAATTCAAGCCGCCCCTTTCCATTAATCAAAATATCAGCTAAATCAAATTTCCATTATTTTCACTCAATTTAGTGAACTAGCTCACTAAATCGAGCATGATTCCATTAAATTCTGTGCCATATACGCTGCATGGTGTATGGGGGTTTGTTTACATCCGCTCAGTCTGTTTCTTTCCGCCAGCGTGTGAGTCACCTCTCGGTCAACTAACTACAGTGCTTAGACATCATGCTGAATGCCTCAGAAAGGAAGTGGTGTGGGGGAGAAAGTCAAAAGAGTGTGGCTATCAAATGGAAAAAAGTTTGGAAATAATAGAAAATTTTAAAACAAACACCGAACCCCCTAGTTTAAGGTAAGCCATGAATAATGTTTCTAATATACATATCATGTGTCCTTCTGCTAAATCGAGAGTTCGTTACATTGCATTCTGTTAAATCGAGAGTACAGTATACTGTAGTACACAATTACAATTGTTAACTACCTACCACATTAAAAACATTAACAAAATACTATCTAGATGAAAATATAAAGCTAAAAGTAATAAGGAAAAATTTTATAAAAATTTAACACAGCAGCCAATGGCACCATTTGCATAGAAGCTGGCTACTTCATTCATGGCCGCCCTCAAGCGTCGCCTCTGCTGACCCTTAGCAATGCTCCCCTTCCCACTCTTAACACACAGAGAAATGTTTATTCCCTTTATGTTTTGACCTTATGATAATTTTTTTTCTCCACATTCTGTATGCAGGATTGTGTGTGCATATAACTGAATGAAAAAACATGAGGAAAGTTATGTTTATATAACAAAAATTAGAGGTTGAAAAATAACCATAATTCATACCTCAGCCTGGTTGGTAGAGAGCTAGGGGATGTGGCCGCCCCAGCTGACTACCCGGGGCGCACAATTTGAATATTTACCAGGACCCAAATTCGTAAATGTGGGGGAAGCTTTCGTAACACAAAAAAGAAGAAATTTAAGAAATTCGTAAAGGCAAATTTTCTTATCTCGAACGTTCATATCGAGGGATACCTGTACATATGGGGAGGGAACCTGAACATGACCTCCTTCTTGAATTGTGTAAACAATGGTTCTCTGTACACAACGCTTCTCAGGAAATGTGATCCCCAAGAACATTATGGGACCCCAGCATCTGAGGATCATAACACCTGAGGACCACAACACCTGAGGACCACAACACCTGAGGACCATAGCATTTAAAAGTAGTCAGCTTAAGTCCCTAGCCTTAACCTAGTGAATGAGTTCTTCACAATAAAAAACGTCACTTTTCAATTAAGAAGTTTAATGATGTCTTAAGTGCATCCATCTTTCCCAAGGAGCTGCTGTGACCACCCGACCTCTGCCGCACCCGTCATTAATTCTTGAGGTTCGTACACTCGTGTTGGTGTCTCTGCCAGTCTTTGATCTGTAGTGGAAGAAGTACAAGTAAGAGAACTCATACACCCTGACTGCTCTCCTTTAACTTAACATGGGAATACCTGATGCTGAGTACCATATATTTCTCTACAACTACTAACAACAAGATATAACTGTGAAAATAATGATAAGTTTGTACTATTATCATGTTATAAAACACCTAAATTAACACTACAACTTAAATTAACACAAAACACTTAAATTAACACTACAACTTAAAATTAACACAAAACACTTAAATTAACACTACAACTTAAAATTAACACAAAACACTTAAATTAACACTACAACTTAAAATTAACACTAAACACTTAAATTAACACTATACAAACACTCAAATTAACATTATGCACTTAAACTAACACACTTAAAGTGACACTACTGTACTGTACACACTTAACTATTACCATGGAAAGGCCGACTCACTCATACGATTACCAGGATAAACCAAGAGTCCAGGATTCTTACAGTGCACCCAGTTTATAACAATAAGTTTGTGTGGGGGCAGCCCCTTGTGTGTGGGTGTTCCCTTGTGTGTGTGTATGGGTGTTCCCTTGTGTGTGGGTGTGCGTGTTCCCTTGTGTGTGGGTGTGGGTGTTCCCTTGTGTGTGGGTGTTCCCTTGTGTGTGGGTGTTCCCTTGTGTGTGGGTATTCCCTTGTGTGTGGGAGTTCCTTTGTGTGGGCACCCCTTGTGTGTGGGTGTTCCCTTGTGTGTGGGCAGCCCCTTGTGTGGGGAGCCCCTAGTGAGCAGCCCTTGTGTGTGGGCAGCCCTTGTGTGTGGGTGTTGTGTCCCTGTGTGTGTGTGTTCCTTGTGTGTGGGTGTGGGTGTTCCCTTGTGTGTGGGTGTGTGTGGGTGTTCCTTGTGTGTGTGTGTGTGTGTGGGTGTTCCCTTGTGTGTGGGTGTTCCCTTGTGTGTGGTATTCCCTTGTGTGTGGGAGTTCCTTTGTGTGGGCACCCTTCCTTGTGTGTGGGCAGCCCCTTGTGTGTGGGGAGCCCCTAGTGTGTGGGCAGCCCCTTGTGTGTGGGTGTTCCTTGTGTGTGGGAGTTCCTTTGTGTGGGGTTGTTCCTTGTGTGTGGGCAGCCCCTTGTGTGTGGGGAGCCCCTAGTGTGTGGGCAGCCCCTTGTGTGTGGTGTTCCCTTGTGTGTGGGTGTTCCTTGTGTGGGCACCCTTGTGTGTGGGTGTTCCTTGTGTGTGTGTGTGTGCGTGTGTGTGTGTTTTCCCGTGTGTGGGTGTTCCTTGTGTGTGTGTGTTCCCTGTGTGGTGTGTGGGCAGCCCTTATATGTGGATGCTCCTTGTGTGTGTTTGTGTTCCCCTGTGTGTGTGTGTGTGTTCCCCTGTGTGGGTGTTCCCTTGTGTGTGGGCATTCCTTGTGTGGGTGTTCCTTGTGTGGCACCCTGTGTGTGGGTGTTCCTTTGTGTGTGGGTGTTCTCTTGTGTGTGGGCATTCCTTGTGTGTGGGTGTTCCTTATGTGTGGGTGGCCTCTTGTGTGTGGGTGATCCTTGTGTGTGGGTGTTCCTTGTGTGTGGGCAGCCCCTTGTGTGTGGTAGCCACTTGTGTGTGGGTGTTCACTTGTATGTGGGCAGCCCTTGTGTGTGGGCTTTGTGTGTGGGTCTTCCCTTGTGTGTGGTGCAGCCCTTGTGTGTGGGCAGCCTGTGTGTTCCCTTGTGTGCAGCCCCTTGTGTGTGGGCAGCCCTTTGTGTGTGGGTGTTCCCTTGTGTGTGGGCAGCCCCTTGTGTGTGGGCAGCCCTTTGTGTGTGGATGTTCCCTTGTGTGTGGGCAGCCCTTGTGTGTGGGCAGCCCTTTGTGTGTGTGTTCCCTTGTGTGGGCAGCCCTTTGTGTGTGGGTGTTCCCTTGTGTGTGGGCAGCCCTTGAGTGTGAGTGTTCCTTGTGTGTGGGCAGCCCCTTGTGTGTGGGCAGCCCCTTTGTGAGTGGGTGTTCCTTGTGTGTGGGCAGCCCCTTGTGTGTGGGTGTTCCTTGTGTGTGGGCAGCCCCTTGTGTTTGGGCAGCCCCTTTGTGAGTGGGTGTTCCCTTGTGTGGGTGTTCTTGTGTGTGGGCAGCCCCCTTTGTGTGTGGGTGTTCCCTTGTGTGTGGGCAGCCCCTTGTGTTTGGGCAGCCCCTTTGTGAGTGGGTGTTCCCTTGTGTGTGGGCAGCCCCTTGTGTGTGGGTGTTCCCTTGTGTGTGGGCAGCCCCTTGTGTTTGGGCAGCCCCTTTGTGAGTGGGTGTTCCCTTGTGTGTGGGCACCCCCTTGTGTGTGGGCAGCCTCTTGTGTGTGGGTGTTCCCTTGTGTGTGGGCAGCCCCTTGTTTGTGGGTGTTCCCTAGTGTGTGGGCAGCTCCTTGTGTGTGGGTGTTCCCTAGTGTGTGGGTGTTCCCTTGTGTGTGTGTTCACTCACCGTGGTGAAACCGAGTCACAGGAATGAACCTCCGAACCGACTTACTCTAACTGTCGTATCTCGTTTGGGGTCGATGCTGCTTCATTTTGGGAAGGAGCGAACTTTTGACCCCAACTGCACACACATCACATATATATATATGCGTACCTGACACGCTTGGCTGCAATATACTAAACTGTTGCAACATGTGAAGTCCCCATTAGCGCCACACAGGAAACATGAATGCTGCGAAGGTTAGGGTACAGTAAATCAATCACAATTAATTGGAATAAATCAATCAAGCACAATATAGTACAGTATATTAATCACTCACACAATTCCAATAAATCAATCACCTCACAAAGATCACAATAAATCACTCACAATCAATTACAGTGGTCCCTCGGTTAACGAACACAATTCGTTCCACAGAGTCATTCGTTAACCGAATCCATTATTTCAATGGAATATTGAGTAATTGGTTCCAGCTCACAGGAAAGTACATACAAAGTAAAGCCAAAAATGCATAAAGTCAGAAACACTCCTAAAATTCCCCTAAATTGCCCTTAAATCACTAAAAAAATATATATACACGTACATATACTGTACACTCTTACTCTTAAATCACTACTGTAATGTGATACAGGTGATTAATTTTTATCTTTTGTGCAAAATATATGACGTTTATATTCAAATTATTTGCTGTCTTGCAAGGATTCCAGCAATGCAAATTATATTCTCCTAACTTTAGTCTGAGATATTATATAAGATAAAAACTGTAAACCTAAAACCCTGGCTGGGGGAGAGGGAGGGAGGTGAGGTGATATGTTTGACAGTTGGCGCCCAAGGTCTAATGTGTGTTTATTTATCAGTCCTTAAGTGACTAAGCTTCTCTCTTATCAAATGCCAGTGAAATGACCTGGGAGAATATAATTTACATTGTTGAGATTCTTGTAAGATAATGATTCATTTGAGTATAAACAAGCTATAATTTGCACTAGACATACAAATTTTAGGACCGTAATCATTTAGTACATGTACAGTACAGGTTTGCACTTAGGTCATTTATTTATTTTACGTTTCTTTTAGTATGGTGTGTGCATGTAAATGCATAAAAATAAATGAAGAAATTTATGTAAATCTACCCAAAGATACAGTTGAAAAACTTTATTTGATAAAATGTACTACAGTACACTAATGTACTAAAGTTTTTATCTCTTGTGCAAAATATATGACATTTATATTCAAATTATTCACTGTCTTGTAAGGGTTCCAGCAATGCAAATTATATTCTCCTAACTTTAGTCTGTGATATTATATAAGATAAAAACTTAAAGCCTTCTGTATAACCACCAAACCCTGGCTTGGAGGGGGGGGGGGGTGACATGTTTGACAGTTAGCACAAAGGTCTAGTGAAGTATTTATTTGTTTATTTATGTCCTTTAGATTGAGTTTTTGTTTTTTGCTTATAAAATGTCATAGAAGTGACCAGAGAGAATATAATTTATATTGCTGGAAATCTTATAAGATAGTGATTAATTTGAATGTAAACATGCTATAGTTTGCACTAGACAAAAATTTTAGTAATCATTTTGTACATAATTTTGAGTGTGAGCATGTAAATGAGTTTCAATAAATTAATAAAGTTACATAATCGAGCCAAAAATAATAGTTGAAAAACTTTATGAGTACAGAGCTTGGATGGCTAAATTTTAGAATGACCAATAATTTTAATATAAAAAATGCAACAATATTCAAGAACACAACCTTCTTGATATTACTCCACTGGAAACGAATGTAAACATAGAACAGATTACTGTATTGGCGGACTAGCCCATCAGCTGATGCTCACAACAAAACGTGTTTTTTGTAAGGATTTCGTTAATCAAAGTTTGTTCATTAACCAAATTGAAGATCCTTATGGGAGCTAATTCGTTAACCGAAATTTCATTAATCGAACTGTTCGTCAACCGAGGGACCACTGTAATCATAATACCTATAAATCACAATTAACCCCAATTAATCCCCTACAGTATGATAACACTTACAAGAGCCAGTATAGTCATGTTAGTATTGCTGGCTACAATTTCTTTTCTTTTGATTGTTTCCAGGGCACTGTGGGCTGACTGGGTGGTGGTGGCTGGCGTGGTGGTCACCTTGGTGGGTATGTCCATCAAAGTGTGGGTCTTATTATTCTGCTGTGATAGTTGGGCAACAGGGGAGGTGGAAGGTGCACTTTGCAGGCAAGCCGAATGTGGACTGAAAGATCTATTTGTTTTGGGCAGGGCTCTCTGTGTCGGCTGAACCTGTCGTGCGATGGCACTTCCCGAGTTGGGGGCCGGGATGGCACTGACCAGCAGATGAGATTGGTGTCCTGTCTTGGTACCTGAGTTTCCTGAGGAAGGGGTAATGCTTAGTGTGTCTCCCTGCAGAGCATGAGTCATTCTACTGACTGGTGCGACCAGGTTGGTGCTGGTGTCGTGTAATGAACAAGAAGTGACCAGAGTATACATCATGCTACTACCACTGATGATGGAGCTGTTTCCTGTAGGACAATAATGTGGTCACTTATGTTTTGATTTGATTAGGTCAAGTAAGGTTAAGTTAGGTCAGGTGAGGTCAGATAAGGTTACATTATGTTAGGTCTGGTAACATTAAGCAACTACAAAATATTTGAGTAGACGCAATCTTCCGCTCCCTCAAAACAAAATACAATGACTTACCAAGAACTAATCACAACCTCTGTTAAATCTAGAAACTATTACAATATTTCAAAACTTTCATCTAATTTATTTAATCTAGAGCTACTTTACAATACTGTACAGTTGCTCTTCTCACACCCTCACCTAAATGGTTAAGATATCCAACATTTCTTTATTAGAGCTTCACCAAGCTGTATTCTTACCTATAGATTAACAATGAACTAGCACACTATACCGTACCTTGTTTTGAGTTAGTGGATTGGTTCTGTGTTTGTTTCACCTTAACTTGATCTGAGAGATTCACCATGGAAGGCCGAAATGAGTGAATTTTAATAGTCACAGGCTGCTGTTGCTGCTGCTGCTGTTGGTGTTGTTGCTGCTGCTGTTGTTGTTGTTGTTGTTGTTGTTGTTGTTGTTGTTGTTGTTGTTGTTGTTGTTGTTGTTGCTGCTGCTGCTGCTGCTGCTGCTGCTGCTGCTGCTGCTGCTGCTGCTGCTGTTGTTGTTGTTGTTGGCTTACTGATATAAGAGGAGGCTGCTGACCCATGTGAGTTGTTACAGTGTGCACCGAACCGGTTGGACGAACCAGCTGCATCATACTGGTATTACTCGGCTGAATGAGACATGGGGAAACCCTGGACCTCATCATCTCAATGTACGGGGGTGGAGGCCCCTGAGGACCACCCACAGCTTGATTCTCCTGTGGCTGTATTTGAGGCTGTATCAAGGGCGTCGTCACAACACCAAGTGGGATCATCTGTGTAACGGAGGAAACCGACACCGGCGGCCAGATTTGGACAGGTGGTGGCAGATTCTGCATCTGTGGCATCCTGTCCGATGACATCACTGCCATAGTCACTTGGGAGTTACTCCTGAAAGTCATCAAATACTTTACAAAATAGCTCATATTATTTAAGCTTTTCTCCATCAACCAACACGGAGCAGAATTTCTGGCATTATTTCTTTAAACAGTTCTAAGATAATGATGTGAAGCAATGCACATGCCCCTCCCTGGCCTGGGTTAGACATGAGATGGGTGTTATCCACTGCAAACTTGCCAGGTTTTCTCTGGGTACTACAGATTCCTCCTGTACTAACACTGGACCACAGAGGTCATAACAAAGAACAGATCAACTGCCCAATTGGGTAATATGCTGACAAAAGGTGAAGCGATAAATAAATCATAAATTACTTACTGTAAATTATAAAACATACAACTTTAAGTGACTGTAAAAAGTGACTCTGTAAAACAATAACTAAAGTGACTGTAAAAAGTGACTCTGTAAAACAATAACTAAAGTGACTGTAAAAAGTGACTCTGTAAAACAATAACTAAAGTGACTAAAACAGCAAAGTGACTCTGAAATGTAATAACTACAATGCAAAAATATTCTGGAAGCAACAACTCCAACTGAGGCAACGTTATATATTACGCACCAAACACTCTACAGTACACCATTACCCCTTGGAACCTTAAGTGTCATCGCTCAGGTAATAATGTACTGGCAACATTAATGTCCTGCTAACTGCAATCCATCTACCGCTTGTGAATGGCAGGACTGCATTAAAATCTTTGTAGGTTCTGACAACTCTCATAATTGTAGGCCCCAATTTGATATTTTGACTATGATACACTTATCCCCCCCTATTCGCAAGGGTTACATTTTTGGAAATTGTGGCATATCGTGAATTCGCATATACTACAGTATTCCTTTAAAGTTGCATCCCTCGGAAATTGCGAATTGAAAAAAAAACTAATTAAAATTATCTTACTCAGCCTCTAGACCAAGAAATAATTGCTGTTTTCAAGTCATATTACCTTAGTCGCAGTTTTTCCATGATCCATGAGGCACTGGAAGAAAATGGCGTGGCGGGGGAGTGAAAGAGATGTGGAAAAATTACACCATTGCTGACTGCATAGCAAATGTTAAACTGAGCCATGATAATCACTAGAAGGTGTGTGAACTCTCGTTGCAAGGCCCTATGACCTGAAGGAAGCATTTCACTGGCTTCCCCACAGTGGAGCCCCTGATCAGTGCAAGTGGAGAGGGATTTGGTGAAATGCAACCAGAAGAAATCAGAGAAGAGCTGCTTGAAACACTGGAGAGGTTAACAAATGAAGAACTGGCTTCTTTACTAAAAGAAGATGAACAAGATAATCAGCAACAAGATCTTGGTCCAGTTGATTTAGAGGAAAACATCTGGACATAAGAGAATTTTTTTTTTAACTTTCTTCAAGCAAGGAAAAGAAGCACTTCTGGAATTAGACTCATCTCTAGACCGAGCACTGATGATAAACAGCGGTGTGGACCAAAAACTAGCACCACTCAACAAAATCTAAAAAGCTCCCCATCACACTATTCTTCTCCAGAGTTCCCAAAACACCAGCTTCAACTCAATCTTCTGCCATTCCATCCACCCCTGCATATTCTGTTACTCCAGCTACCCCTGCCACTGCTATTGGATCATGCCAATGCCCTCCACTCTTTAACTTGTCCTCTGAAGATGAGGACGACCCCCAAGCTCTTTCCTCCCCATCACTCTCTCCTGCCATTCCTGCCTCCCCTGTTGAGGCAGACGAGGATGAGGGGCAGTGAACATCACCACCAAGCATCATCATCATCATAAACTTCACTCACCATACATATGGCAAGGGGAGAGTTGGCAGGGGGTCATGAGGCAGGGGGAGAGTTGCCAGGGATCAAAAGAAGTCAACACCTTAGTACAGTACAGAGTATTTGTTATTTCATGCTTATGCTTATTTAATTATGTTATTTCTTGTTTATTATAGTGTCTTATGCCCATCATCATATCATTCATTGTATGGGATCTGTACTAATCATCATTGTCATCATAACAAGAAGATCCAGGATAAAAAAAATAGTATAAAACTATGTACAAAATACGAAAAATGAAGAGCATAAGGTGTATGTGTGTGTGTGTGTGTGTGTGTGTGTGTGTGTGTGTGTGTGTGTGTGTGTGTGTGTGTGTGTATGTGTGTGTGTGTGTGTGTGTGTGTGTGTGTGTGTGTAAATAATAATAATAATTAATGGTTTATTGAAAGAGCTTGGCAGCCAGAAGGCTGAAAATATACAGTTACATATTTGGGGAATGGGTTTCGAATTACAAATAATATACAAGTAACATAAGTGACACAAATAAGACATATAATAACTAGATGGGGAAAAGCTCAAACTACAGTTCATTTCAACATAGTGACAGTGCAAGGAGTAGTGTTTACTGGGAGTGAATACACTGGTTTATTACAAGGTCGAGGTGATGTGTGTGTATGTGGAGGCAGTGAGCTGTACTGCGACCCTCCATGGGATGTGCTTACCGACCGCCCGCCTCAGTGTAAACAAGTACGATACATGCATACTTGTCAGTCACAGTCAGTTCACGTTGGTCAACCATGGAGTGTATGTCGACGGTTTATTCAACTTGTTTTTCCATCATTGCTCAGTGTTTGAGTCATTATGTCTGATAACCCTGAACCTAGCATCTGAATCTGGTACAAGAGGGTATTGTGCTTAGAAACGTTTAAATGTTGATTGTGACAGATAACATAAACATACCGTTGCTGTTGTTTTTCTCCTCAGGAGACGTCCCTCATATTTTGTATAACCTGATAATTCATAAGAGCTAGAACCACAATTATTTCGAATGATGGTTTTCTTACTGTAGAAGTATTATAATAAAAGTTTTTGTATAGTACAGTAATTAAATTAAAGCAAATATTAGTCTGCTAATATTTTTATTTTATTCGTTTTTTTTTTAGGAGGGGGGGGAATAAAAATGTTACTTTAAGGCCATGGGAAATTCATAAGCCCTGTTGAATGGGTAGTACCTAACTCTACAGCCAGACACACTGCTCCCTTATGAACAAATGGTTTAGTATTTCAGTGTGGTGTATTCAAATTGGCCCCTAATGATCCACACTGTCCTTAATGAGCCACATAGTACCATGCAAGATAATTCTGGTCTACACCTATATATACTCAACCTAATCTAACCTAACTTTCCCTACCCTAGCCTAACCTACACAAATACCTGGAGGTATGCACTTGGGTGTTGTCACCAGGCTGGGTGGGAAGACTACCAGACACTGCTGCTGGCTGCTGACTTTGGCCCTTGGCTGACATGGCAGCTGCAGCCACTACATTTGCTGCTGCTTTGGCTGCTGCAGGTGATATGGTTTCTGCTGTAGCCATGGATGCTGCCTTTCCTTTTGACTGAAGCTTTCTCGGCCCCTGTTGAGAGAAGGCAATTAAAGTGTGTGTGGCCGTTGACACAAGTGCCCCGAGTCACGACTGGATTGTCACAAGAGCTTTAGCGTCGTCCTCAAAAAATAAGTGTTATATATAACCCGCGGCCGACAAAGACAACGGAATGAACATAAATAAATACCTCATGTTCATAACTACAGTAAATAAAACAAAAATTTAATTTTATTCTTTCAGGGTCTTACAATAATTACAGTGAGTCTTCTTTATTGATCATGGAAGTGTTTCTCAGCTCCAACAATGGGTTCAATTATCCCAATGACTCACATGTGCAGCACTAACACCTAAGAGGCTGATCTATCTTTCTTCCTAATTTACACACAATTGCAGGGTCTCAACTGTCTCTCTTACTATTGACAACACCACAAATATAACCGTACTCATTCTTGATCTGTCTTATTCATTCTATTTTATTCTCCTATGTCAGTTGATATTAATATTGAAGTGGGGCCTTCTCGGATGGGTCCCACTGGTCGGGAAGGTTGTGGACCCCAGGGCCGACCTGATCATCATCAAGTTACTGGGGCCTCAACTGACGCCACCGCAGTTGCTGGAGGATCGGCTTTTTTCACACTTCATTTTTCCAACATTTGCGGCCTGAGATCCAATTTTCCTTCTGTGGAGCACCATCTATTAACCTCTTCCCCCGACCTCTTACTACTTTCCGAACTCCAACTGTCCAAAGCAGCTTCACCCAAACCTTTTCAAGTCTCCAACTACAACCATTATACCTCCTTCCGTTCTAAGGGAGGTGTATGCGCCTACTGCAACACACGTACACCTATGGCTTGACTCACGGATCTTGAATCTTCGCTTTATGATGTCATCTGGCTCAAAATATCTCTACCTACTGTGACTATTTTTCTTTGTTCTCCCAACTCAACCAACTATTTCGAACTCATTGACTATCTCACTTCTTGCCATGAGTCATTTCTATCCACACACCCCAACACCGAGATCCTCTACCTAAGGGATTTCAATGTACATCACAGAGAGTGGCTTGGCTCTGCAAGGGATGACCCAGGTGGTGCTGAGGCACTCTCTTTTTCCCAAATTAATGATATGGAACAAATAATCAAACACCCTACATGCGTTCCTGATCGACACGATCAACTTACTAACATGCTTGATCTTTGCTTTACCTCTAACACCTCACACTACTCATACTCAATTTCTGCCCCCTTAGGGTCTTCTGATCACAACCTTATTTCTATTAAATCAAACTGGGCACAACCACCTCCCCCCCCCTAAACGTCAACTATGACACTATCGGAGGGCAAGCCGGCAATCCTTACGAGAATTCTTCACCGACTTTCCTTGGGATGAATGTTGCTTTTCCACTCAGGACGCCTCGGTATGTGCTGACAAAACTTTCACATTACAATCATGGTTTATCACTCCTGGTCTCTTGCTTGCAGTGTGATAGATAGGGCAGATCGAGCTATGAAACTATCTCCTCCTTTTACCCACACCTCTTTCATTACTTCTAGGAATCGTTGTAAGGCTATTCTTAGTAGGGCCAAGCAGAATTTTTTAAAAAGAAAGACTGCTGTCCTGACTAATTCTTCCTGTAGTCCTTAACCAAAAACATCTGCAACAACTTCTGCACTCCTTCTTTTCCTCCTCTCTTCCGACTTGATAACTCTATAGCCAACTTTCCCCCTGACAAAGCCAACCTCTTTGGCACCTTATTCTCCTCTAATTCCACCTTAGACGATTACCACTCTATCCCTCCTACCCCTGCACCTCCTACTGAGCCTATGCACTTTCCTATAATCTCCACTCGAAGGATTGCCAGTGTGTTATCCAGGTTGGATGTGAGTAAGGTGCATGGACCGGACGGAATACCCCCTCGTGTTCTGAAGCTCTGGCCCTTGTGCTTGCTTGTCTCTTTCGCCTCTGCCTCAAAACCCAAACTTTTCCTTCTTCTTGGAAGCATGCCTTGGTTCAGCCCATCCCGAAGAAGGGTAACCATTCTAATCCCTCTAACTATTGTCCCATTGCCCTAACTTCATCCCTCTCTAAGATTTTCGAAACTGTCTTGAACTCACATTTTCTCCGTCACCTTGAACGCCTTTCTCTTTTGTCAGATCACCAGCATGACTTTCGCGAGGCAAGATCTACTGGTGATCTGCTCTCCTACTGCACCCATCTTTGGTCATCCTCTCTTAGGGATTATGGGGAAACTTTCGTCATGGCCCTCGACATCTCCAAAGCATTTGAGCATTTGACAGGGTATGGCACAAGTCTTTGCTATCTAAACTTCCCTCTTATGGTTTCTCTCTCCCATTTTGTTCTCTAATCTCTAGCTTCCTTGAGAACCGATCCATGGCAGTTGTTGTCAAGGGATTGATCTCACTCTTTCTCTACCAATAGTGGTGTCCCACAGGGTTCTGTTCTTTCACCAACTCTCTTCCTTCTTTTTATCATTGAATTTACTTCACACTACAACTAATTCTATCCATTCTTATGCTGATGATTCTACTTTTCACTCTTCTTCATATTTCCCCTTCCTCTTAACTCTCAAACTAGATCTGTTTCTAGAGCTGATATCATTACTTTTATCAATGCAGATCTGTGCAGCATCTCTGAATGGGGAGGTACAAACTTGGTTAAGTTCAATAGTAATAAAACTCAATATTTACCAATTACACTTTGTAAATTAGACGATCTCCCACCAATTACATTTCAGGATGCTATCATCCTCCCAAATTCTGAAATAAATATGTTAGGCCTCACCATTTCCTCCAATATGTCCTGGAAATCACACATCCTTAGTATAGCTAAAGCTGCCTCCCGAAAGTTGGGAATGCTGTACAGATGCCGTAGCTACTTCACTCCTGAGCAGTTGCTCCAAGTATATAAGGAATTCATTCGTCCTAACTTGGAGTACTGCTCTCATATCTGGGGTGGCTCCTCTTCTGTCCACCAATTAGATAGGGTGGAATCAAAGGCATTTCGTCTTATTAACTCTCCTCCTTTAATCGACAATCTCTTTTCCCTTTCTCTTCGCCGCAATGTTGCTTCACTCTCTCTCTTTAACAGGTACTTTAACGGGCAAATGTTCGGTGGATTTGGCATCCTGTGTACCGCCGGCAAGGCCGTGGGCTCGTAACACAAGTCTTGCCCGCGGTGCCCACCGTTTCTGTGTGGATGTTTGTCACATGAGATTAACCCGTTATAGTACCTCCTTCTTTCCTCACACAGCCAAACTGTGGACTGTTCTGCCTTCTTCTGTGTTTCCATACTTATAAAATCTGTCTCACTTTATAAATCTGGTGTTCCGGCATCTTCGCCGTTCTGATTTTTTCACCCCCCAGGCCCCATTGTGGGTCGTTTGACCTGTGCCCGGGTGGGCTAATTCCCGTATAAAAAAAAAAAAAAAAACACACTTCAGAGGTTCATGGTGCAGCAATAACACTTAAGAGGTTCTAACTATGAACTATCACACACTGGATGACACAACTGTCTTAACTCTCATACAGTTGGATGAACTAGCCCGAAAAGAATAGATATTCTTTTTAATTATAATTCAATTACTGTACACGGATTTATCAAATTTTGAAACTACTCATCAATGAAACAACAAACATCTACAGTAGGTGTACAGTACTTTCATCAGGGGTATGGCAGGTTGTAACCTACCTTTTTGACAGGGGTCCTGTTCGTGCTACCGAAGTGGTTGATATTCGCTGCTGATATAATGTTGAAGCCTGGATGCACTTTCTCCTGATTGATCGTTGTTACACCCACCCCGCTCCTTTCGCCCTCGGTTGTTGTATTGAAGGCAGTGGGTGGGGGGATGACAGGGTCCGCAAGTACTTGAGGTCTCGGTGCTGGGGTAATGATCTCTTTCTGTGCCACCAGTGAATCTGAAGAATGAACTGCAATAATGAAGACAACACTGACAGGTCCATGGGGCAACAGGTACAGGAGCTTTAAGATTGCCATCACCTACATTATTCTATGTTTAATTATAAGAGAAACACAAATGGACAGACAGAGAAGGACAAGGTGATCCAAGATTTTGGTGTGATAATCTGACTTAATTATTTCCTTTTCAGCAAAAAAGAGGAAATAAAGAATAAAAATCTTTAAAGATTAATATAGGCTATAGAGTAAACCTTCCTCAACTCAATACCATACGAATAAATTTACTTCTTGTGCATTAAACTACAGTTGTACCCCACTTAACGCGGTCAATTGAACCCAGAGGGTCCCGCGTTAAGTGAACAACAGAACATATGGGATTAATTCCAATAGAACCCAGCCCGACCCCCAAACTCCACTTTTTGACGACACATAACTATGTTGTAGTAAAAATTCTATCTTAACTTTATGATGGTATGAAAAAACAAGTAATATAGAAGAGGTTAGGTTAGGAAAGATAAAGGTTAACATAGGAAAAATGAAGGTTACCTTAGAGAAACTAAAAGTTAGGTGGAACACTTACGGTAGTAGAAGAGATGGGTCGGCATACGGGGATGGAGGCTGGTTCCGAGGCAGAGGGCAGATTACTGGCCCTCAGGTGAATCACCATTACTAGGTGAATCAACATCACTGTCACTTACAGTTGTCAGGGCTTCCCTGACAAATCCCTCAAAGTCAACTTCACTTTCACTATCACTGGCTTGGGCTGGCTGTGGTGGGTTGCGGGCGAAGAACTCGGTTATGCTTTGCTGACGGCTGGCTTTGATGTTGTCATGATACACCGTGATGTACGGCTCCATAGCCTGCACCAGTCGGGTATGGAAGACTTCATAGCGTTCATCGTCATTGTCGCGGGAAAGGACGGACTTAATTTTTTCTGCAAACTCTATGGCACACTTAATATCACTATGACTTAAACTAGGTTCTTCGGAGAATGACGCACCTTCTTCCTCCTCTTCACTGGCGTGTTCTTCTTCCAACATCTCGTCGGCAGTCACTTCAGGATCTTTGATCACCTCCAGGATGTCTTCGTTGGTGGTCTCGGAGAAGCCTTCAGCTGTAATATTGAGCGCAGCTTCTCTGGCAAGGTCCACTGCTACTGCAACAGTCTGAACCTGACCAGTCACAGGTTCACTCCTCCTCTCACCTGGTATGCCATGCAACACATGTCTCCATGCGTGACGAATCGTAGCAATAGTCAGCAGATCCCATGCCTCCACCAAGAAGTCTACAGCTTGTTTAACGTTAAACTTCTTCCAAAATTGTTTGACGAGAAGTTCTTGAGTCACCGCCTCTTGTTCCTTGTCCTCGTCGCTTTTGCTCTCGCTGTCGGTGTCACCCAGCTTACGCAACTCATCCTTGGTGTTGGTAGAGTCGTTCAGGAGCTTGAACTTCTTTGCAGAGTACGCAGCTTTCACATTGCAGATCAACTCCTGGTCCATGGGCTGGATTAATGACGTAGTGTTGGGAGGAAGGAAGACCACTTTTACGTTGGGGTGACGATCCATAAGTAGGGGCGAGTGTCCAGGTGCGTTGTCAAGGAGCAACAAAATATTGAATGGAACATTCTGTTGCTCGCAGAATTTCTTCACGTCGGGAACAAAACAGTTGTCAAACCAGAAGAGGGACAGAGAAGAGGACATCCACGCCTTACGTGCGGTTAGCCAGTGGACATTAGGCTTGTTCATGTCCATATTCTTGTAGGCGTGCGGCTTGCGGGCTGTGTGAATCACCGATAACTTTGGTTTACAGGTACCGGAGGCATTGGTGGTAAACAGGACGGTGATGCGTTCCTTCTGCAACTTCCGACCCCTTACCTTGCTGGCAGACTGGACAACGAAGGTCTTGGAAGGTAACTTTTCCAGAAAAGACCAGATTCGTCCATGTTAAACACCTGGTCGTCACTGTACTGTCCTTCCTCCATAATCTCACGTAAAAACGGAGGAAAATCTCTAGCCGCCACACGGTCAGCACTCGCTTCCTCACCACCAATGTTGATGTTGGTGATCTTGTTCCTCTTCTTAAACCTATATACTAATATTAGCCAGAGGAAAGCATTGAAGGGTTTGAGCTCTTCATTCCCAGCTTAAAACGACTGCTCGTATAAACCACGTCGCGATACTCCTGCACTGTTGGCGTGTCCACCCCGCCATGTTGCGTCGCGCCCAGACAAATAACTCACCAGCAAATTTTCCCGCTTTTGCCGCTTTATTCTGGCAATACCTGATAGATAAACACAAACGCTGTGATTTCTGTGCTCTTTGATCTTGTACCATCGCCTTCTTGATAAATGCGAAATGTAGATTCTTTGGCGCCATGCTGGTAGCGAGTCAACTTTACCGTGTTCCTTTCACCAAATCTGAACAATTTGGCCTTCACCTCGTATTAACCAGGAACGTCGTGTCTTCTTTGAAAACCCGTGCGCTGGGTCAAGTAAGAAGGTCTCTCTCTGGTGGCGGTGGTGGTCGCGGAAAGCCATTTTAGAACAATGGATCGCGCGTTTACAGTCATGGCCTTGAGGATGAAACTACACATTAGCTGGAGTCCAAGCTGTCGTCTCCTCCCTCCTCCTCCTCCCGGGGTGGTCCGTCATAATACTTTAAGCCAATTCAATAGCAGCAGGGGTAGGGATGCATGGCCAATCACAGTCGATCGTCATATGGCGTCAGTGATAGCATAACAAAGACACACTGCTGTACCGCCACTTCCACCCAGGAGGGAAAGGAGGAGAGGCAGGCAGGCGAAAGCGGCGAGGCGGGTGGCGCGTGGGGGCAAATCTAAAATAGCGTCTCGAGCCGGACACTCACTGCGTATATGATGCGTAAACAACTAGTGAAAGTTCGCTCTGGCGAGCACATATATGACAAAGCAGCGTAAAAGTGAAACGCCTCGTTGGTAGGATAAATAATGTATATATATATATATATATATATATATATATATATATATATATATATATATATATATATATATAAGTGTCCTCTGAGGAGGCAGGTGCTTTTGAGTTTAGAAAAATCATTTATGGTATTAATGATGTAGTTCTGTGCAGAATCATGTGATATCTTCAGATTTGAAAAGTTTCATTTTTGCTAGGTAAATTTTAACTTGAAATCTTATGAAAATTCAGTATTCCCACCCTTTTACCAACACCACTAAATAGCTTATTTAAAGTAAAGTAAATGTATCCAGGATTCATTTATTACGGATAAATAGTCAGAATAATTGAAGCGAATGATCTTGACACATTTATTAAATTTAATATTCCTTTAGAAAACAAAATCATCAAATACAAAAACGGGTTTTACTACTACGACCCGGTGTTGCTGCACACCATAGAGAACATGTCTTTCTTGCTTCTGTTTCTACTCATCACCTCCCTGCTGACCACCTGAGCTCGGATGTAGCCTTCCCTCCTCTCCTGGCTGTACACGTGACTGCTGGCCTCACTCACTTGCTGTACACAACGCTCTATACTCTGGGTGTGCGAGGGCCAGGCAGGGACATGCATGGGGTTGTCCAGGAAAGCTCTGACTTGAACATTGGTGAGGCTGCAGGTAAGAGGGGGCTCACTGCCAGCCTGGATGTTATCCAGATCAATGAGATCAGTGAGGGTCTTGGCACCTAGATTGACTTCAGGAGTCTTCCTGACCCTGAAGGAATCGTCACCAACTGATTCGTCATGCCCAGATCCTCTCATAAGTCTCATATCCAAGATCTTTTTGACTGCCACTTCCTTCTCTCTCCTCTCATCCTTACTGCAGAGCATTAATTGCAGAACTGCCTCGGATGAGCATGGCCCAGGAAGATCTCCTCACAGTCTGCTCCACAATCTGAACAACCTTCCTTGGCTGACTTCAGGAGCTCAAGCTGGAAGAGAACATGCCTCGGACCTTCGGGAGAACGATGACTTGACCTTTGGTGTTGAACTAATTTGGCAAGTAGACACTCACGGCGAATTGGACAATAAGTCTCAGGTTGTGAAGCTGGTTCCCTTTCAGTTTATGATGAGCGACTCAAATTCTGCAGAACCTGAGAGCCGTTGTGAGCCACCTAGAATGTGAGACTGGACCTATCTGCAGGTAAGCAAGTCTATCAGGCATGACCCCAGTTTTGATGGCACTGCAAATCATGTAACCATAGTACTGGTCAGTACTCAGGTCGTCAATGACAGTATGTGCAAGCTCAATGAGTGGAGGGCCAACTGTGATTTTTTCAAAGCTCGGATTTATTTCTAACTCAGTGGCAGAGTCCAGCATCTTGCCAAGAGGACCAGACCATCTGTTGTTTGATAGAGTCTTGCCATCCAGCTCCTGGATCAGATGTCTGAGTGGCAACTCGTTGGTGTGGAGGTCACAAACAATCCAGACCAGCTTCCTCCCAATCTTCCGCTCTATCCACTGTATGACCCCCCTTGCCACCCTGTGTTCGTGTTGGTGCTGTCCCTCCACGCCTGCAGGGTCTGGTCTACGCTCCTCCTCTGAGCCAGTTCACAATGTTATCTGCCACTATCTCAGCTGGTTTCCTGATGTCATCTTTCTGGAGTGAAATGCCACAAATACTTCCCCTCCTGGTTCACTGCAGCAGGAGTAGTGTTCCTCCTTCACCATGGCAGGGAACAACTTGTCAGAATCTCCAACTTTCATGAACACTTTAGTGTCATCCCTTCCCATCAAAGAACAAAACAATTGATCTCTGCATTTCTTATCCTTTATCAAATTCCTCTTCTAGGTTACCACAAGTTTCTCCTGAGCTTCCTCCTTTTTACTTTAATATGATCTATCACCAGGTGAACATCATCAGGTGTTATCAAACCACCGGGCTAATCCAGGCAGCTGTTGCTATCTCTGCAGTTTCTCTGAGACCAGTGTGGTGTCGCATGCTGGCCAGAGCTATGCTCGACTCTTTCCTATTTCGAATCTTATGCCTGGAAGGTTTGGGGATCATTATTTTCTGGGTTAGGGGCAAGCCTACCATTCTCCTGGCCAGCACTCGGATCAGCCATGGGGAAGTCATTAAACTCTGAATCAGCTTGACTCCAATCATCGGCCTTTTTTACCTCACCCTGGGCCTTCTCAAGTCTCTTTTCCTTGGCAACTCTTCTCCTCTTCTGTCTCTCTGTGGCAGCCTCCTGTCTCTTGGACTCCGGAATATCTTGGCTAGAAATCATGAGAGCCCCTATACTGCCAGTCTTCTCTCTCTGTGCTTTGACAAATGCCAGTTCGATCACAGGAATCTTCAGTTCATGCTTGCAAATACAGGAGATGTGGGCCTCGGATTTACAGTCACGATCGCATCCAAACTCAGGACAGAGAACAATTG